TGCGATTTTGATAATATTTCAATTAATAGTGCAGCCCTAATTTTAATTAGGATGGTCAACATAGGTCAACTATGCCACAATCTTACAATTAATCCTTATGGAAACAAAACCACTGATGTACAATTCACACAAAGTCCCAGCCCACTGCCTTTAATTGTACAAAGACAATATTAGGGAGGTGTGAAATGTTTCAGTTCACCGCTGTTGCTCCTGTGAAGTCTAACGCTTTCTCTTCATTTACACTAGAAATAAGGAAACCTCATAATCCTCATAATGAATGCAAAGTGTTACCAAAGGAAATATCTGATTTCCTCTTCGTGCCAACTTTAATACTAAAGTTTATTGTCCAACTGTAAAATATCTGCCAAATAAAAAACACATTTGAGGGATCTCTGCCAAAAATGTTTGCTATGTGTTAAAAAGGAATATTGGCCAATTCATCATCAGATATTTACTAACTTTGCTGTACTCCAAATATTGATACTGACCAATACTGCATGTCTTAATAATCCAGTATCAGTGCTAACAAAGTGCTGGCAATGGCCTGCAGGGAGTGGCACATGGGTCGATGAGGATCAAAGTGAAGTCAGGTGACATCTCCCACCCCCTCTACGGTGCGCTGATGCGCCCGCATGCCATCACCAGTTTGAACCTGCAAATCTGAAGCATCTGTAAGTGTTGGATGCAGGTTGCATTAAGATTCCAGCACCAGCCTGTTTTATAAAATCCACACTCCTCCATTACTTATTTTCTGAACAAACAATCAAAGCACCTTGCAGCTTTGATCGCCGACAACCACTGCCCTGGAGGTAAGCACCAGTCTCACCCAGCACCATATGGCCCTGGTGGGCATTTAACAGATTGCACAAGAAGTTTCCTCAGCAGCGGCTCCCACCCCTTGTGCCCGTCAGGCGTAGCTAGCCCCCCTGAGGACAGAGCTTCTTATCCTGAGGGCAGGGGCGAGGCTGTCCCTAAGGTTGGGGGAGAAAACAAAGAAAGGTGGTGGAGGACAGTGCTGGGAAGCTGCTGAGCCTCAGAAATAAATAGTATAAGCTTGCTGGAAGAAATGAGTCTTTAGCATATGATATCACTGGATGTTGAATAAGCCTGCCAGAAAAGCCTGTTATGTGTAATGCATGTGCACGTTAATAAAAAAAAATCATCTTTCCTTTTGGTGCTTGTGTTTTAGTCAGTAATCAGCCACATGACCTTGCCAATGCACCAAATAACCCCCCCAGTCAATTCGCCATAGACTTCAACCACACACATGCATGTACATGAAACATAGGGGACATGACGGTATGAAAATACTGGTGGGCACAGCTTTGGCACACCCCGTGAATGCATAGCAGGCAGGGAGGCAGGTCAGCAGGGGCTCTGGTGCCTCTGACTATATATGGCCATTCTGTAGAGCAGAGGGAATCTTCCCAGCATACCACGCACAATTTGAAGAATCATGTCTTTTTCTATGTTATCATTACACTCTCTCTCTCTCTCTTTAAATTCCTGCATCAGAGTGAGGCACCTGAGAGAGTGCACAGAGCCAGCTGGTTTGGTGCCAACTGATAAAGAGGGGTGAGAAACTCGGAGAGAAACTCGGAGAGAATCTCTCTGCGCAGTGAAAGAGCAGTGCTTTCAAAGAACGTGGATACAAATGCATTATTTCAAAATAACTAATGAGCTGTGACCAACTGTGTGCGGCAGACATATATATGATGTAATCCCTCAAGTGAATAGTTATTTACAGCAAACGTGCAGGCCAGCGTACCGACATGGATCATCCACTGGTTTAATGCACTGCTCTTGTGTGCCATTTTAAACAAAAGAGAGGAATATGGCGGCAGATGCAAAAGGATTAAGTTTGAATTCAGAAATGCAACCCTGCAACAGCATTGTACTGGCAAAATTATGTGGTTAGAAAAGCTGGTATAGGTTGCAAGACATTCTCTTTGTGGCCTAGTTTTCTGCCCAAGAATATGACAACAATACTTTTTCAAACTGATGAATCACTTGCGGTGATCATACTTTACACAAGTGTGTTCAATCTGTACATAGATCCAGGCTTCCATTCCCATCAGCCAGCTGGCCATAGAAAAATTAAGTGATTTAAAAAATGGCTTCTTAGCTATAACGTAATTTACATTACTGCCGTCAGTCAGAATCGGCTGTGCTGTGTTTTCAGGGGTTGACTGTAATCTGGCACCTCTCCAGGAGCAACGGCTGCCCTCTTGGCAGAGAGTACAGCTGGAGAGCCAGCGGCACAGCATGGCCGAAAGAACCTTGACATGGCTTTTTGGGTCTTAGAGAACAGCTTGGTTCTTTAATTTTCTGGGCAAAGCTGCAAGTGCGGCGACACAGTGGAGATGCATAAACAGGTTTTTGGTGGGGTGGGATCCCAGGCCTGCAGTGATAGGTCTTAATCAGGTCTATAGCGGAGTTCTATTTGAAATACTTATGGCGAAAATTGTCTATGTTGTTCTACAAATTCTATCTAACAAAAGAAGAAGTTCAGCTGTGCAAGATAAGAATAAAAGAAAAAAAGTCTAAAATAGTAAAAAAAAAAATACATTATTTAAATCAGGAGCTACCGGTTCAAAGAATACGGAAATTCAACTTCTACTTTTGTGTATGACAGGTCCTGCGGTAGGGCTGTAGCTAATGATTATTTTAATCGATTAATCAATTGTTTGGTCCATTAAATGTCAGAAAATGGTGAGAAATATTGATCAGTGTTTCCCAAAGCCCAAGGCGATATCCGCAAACGTTTTGTTTTGCCCACAAGCCAAAGATATTCAGTTTACTGTCACAGAGGACTAAAGAAACCAGAAAATAAACACTTTGAAATCAGAGAATTTGAACATTTTTCCTTAAAGAATGACTCAAACTAATAATATCTTTTAAAACAGGCAGCAATGAGTATCAGTCAGCAATACAAAGTCTTACACACTGCACATTTGTTGTGTAACTTCAAGATTACACACTCTACTCCCTACAGTCCACCTTAAGAAATAAGCCAAATGGGAAATGCCTCAAAGGAACCAAAAGTCACCACAAATCAAAGAGCAAAGAAGCTTGGTCACATTGTGTTATCTATAAAAGGGCCTTGCAATCTGTGACCAAGTGCTTGACAAAGCAGAAAAAGGCCTCTGAGGGAGAAGAAACTCCACCCCGTTTTCAGTTGGGGGGCCTGTTGTGATTATTCAGTCGGTTGGCGTTTGAAACCCCGCGGACAAACTCCTCCTTTCTGTGGATCTAACTGACTGACGGGCCGAGAGACCCAAAGAGCGTGGAGACAAACTCAGCTTTGTGAGGAGTGCCTGGGGCAGGTTCTGTCTGGAACTGGACAGCTGCTCTTCTACCAGTTGCAGCCAACCCCCCCCTCCTCTTCCTCTCCCTTCACCACCACACTTCCAGTGCACATGCTCACAGGCCACATGCTCATTCAACTGGTTATAACATGACAGCCAAACGCGCTGATCGACGGCTGATCCAAAAAGGAGGCTAACTGCAGCACTGGCTATGACTTCGCTATAGACAGTTTGGCTTATTTCACGCAGGCTTGTTGCGACCGCGTCTTTGTGTCAGCTGCAGGCTAATCTGACAGGCCCTCTCTTGTACAAGCTCCATTCCCACACAGCGGCACTTGCAAATAGAATTAGCACCGGACAGTGAATGGAGCGAGAGATTAAAAAGGGACACACACACAAAAAAAAAAAAAAAAAAGAGGGAGAGAAGCAGTAATTCTCTAGTCCCAAACGCCTGGCTCAAAACCATCTGGTGGGAAGATAGCAATGCGAGCATCACACTTCCCTAATGACAATCATCGGCTCCTTCTCTCTACGCTGCGCCGGGGGTTAATTTCAGGTGGGGTGATCATATGAGCACATGCACACAGATGGGTTCGCTCTGGGAGTTGAGGCAGGGAGGAGGAGGAGGATGGAGGGAGGGAGGGAGGGGGTCCTAAAGGTTCTCTGCACTGGGGGATTGAATGCAGGTCACTGGAGCACTGTGGGCTGTCAGAATTAAATACTCAGCTTAGCTTGCTGCTTAGTGCACAAGCAAATTGATGTTTTTTTTTTGGGCTAGCCTGCCTCTACTAGCCTATTAACAGTCTGCACAGTGCTTAGCCAACTAGACGTCTGCTTATCATATAGGTAACCTGGTTAAATGTCATTAAGGAGCAGAGCAGCAGGCAACAAAATGGAGCCTCCACTGACTAGCTAGCTGCAGTGATAACAACACAAGGAGGCCCGTTACAACATTAAGCTAGGATGGATGTCTCGCCAATCCAAAGCCATCCCCTCCTTTAAAAACAGGCTGACCACATCGTCGGCTTCCAGACGAGCGCCCGCTGTCTTTCTCTGCCTCCTTGGCGATGTCTTTCAACAGCCGCAATGTTCATTTTCAACAGGAGAAATGTGACACCAAGAGCAGATGGCCCAGAGAGTGGGATTCCCATCCACTGAACTGGAGGAGTCCTGATTTAAACAGGATATGAAATTTGGTTTTGTTAAGAAAAGAAAAGAAAAGAAAAGAAAAGAAAAAAAGGAGGCAGAGAGTGAGGCCAGCGGGATTGTGACAGACAGTGTTTCTCCATCCTTGCCTCCTCACCTACTTTTCAGTAAGGCAGGTGATGTAAGATAGGTGAAGCATCAGACTGTAGACTGTCTGATTCACTCTTTACACACACTCACTCACACACACACACACACACACACACACTCACACACACTCCCAGTTGAATTAACAATAACTGAGCAGGCTGACAACAGCACAAGCAACCATTACAAGGAACTCTCACATTACATCTTTCTGTTTCTTTCAACTTAATGACCAGCGGCGTGGACTGATGGCAACATCTGAAAGGCATGTCTTTGAATTGTCACTTCCTTTGTTCACAGGCTTTATAAAAGGGGGGTAAAAAACAACAACAACACATTGTTTATCCTGAGCATTCACTATAAAAACAGGACAGGCCATGCACTGCGCCTCCAACCAACCTTGTATACTTGTCCATAGGTGCCATTTCCAACCACCTCCACCAATTCAAATATCCCAGCTGGATCCTGAAAAGAAAAAGAGATAAAGACGATTCAGTGGAAATAAAAATCAATGTTAATATTTTGTCTTAATTGAACAACATTATCCAGTGTGAGCCAGCTGTTGCGCCCTGCTCTACCCTACATGCCAAATGCATCTCGAACAAAGGAAAACCAGACACTGGCAACACCTCGCTATAGCTCAGCGGTCATTTTCAATACTTCAGCTCTAACAAGAAGGGACACTGGAGTTAAAACTTGCTCATGCTAGCCCCACTGGGGGGGGGACGTGTGTTTTATCGAGCTACGTTAAATAAAAGATAGCAAAAAACAAAAACAGGAGAGGAAGGGGAAAAAAACCAGAGGCTCGGTTCGGCAGTCACTCACCCGCAATGAAGCCAAGTCTATGTCTACTAGACTTTTAGCTGGAGAGTCGTTCGCCATCTTTCAAATAAAAGCCGAGCTTTGCTTTGCGTTTACTAAAAATAACTGCCGCTGTAGCATTTGCGAGGACTTCGGCGGATGAACCAAGTGGAGGCCGTCGCGTATTCCTCTCTGTGGGATCCGCTCCTTAGCAGTAAATGCTGGACTCTCTCTACTCCATGTTGAGGTGGCAGCAGCGGGCTCACTGTCCGCTCTCTCCCAGCTTGTGCTCAAGCTACACTGAAAACGTCGACTTCCGCTGGAGAGTTTCAACATAAAAGCCTCACTGAGCTCCTTTCTCATTGTTGTCGACCAAAAGATACTGAGATACATATGATTGTATTGGAAGAGGAATCAGTGTAATTGTTCTTCTTTTTTAAATGATCTCAGCCAAAGGCCCATGCATAAATATATGACTTATCAAAGTGTGCTTACATGAACCAGTGGTGGAAGAAGTACTCAGATCTTTAAGTTACGTAGAGATAAAAGTATTTGAATGTCATTTAAGTAAACATATTTAAGTATCAAAAGTAAAACTACACCTAAGTATCACTTTAGTGTTACTGTTCCTGTAAAGGTGGGGCTAAACTGTATACGTAGTTAAATCTACAACAAAGCATTCATTGATCATTTATTTGTAGGGGCAGACACAGATTTCCTCTTGTGCTCTGTCTACATTATATATTAGTTTTACACTATTTGCAAATTAACTGTAACTTTTCTAAATAATAACAATAATCAGTTTTGGGGCTTTTCCAGATGACATTAATTACATAACTAATAATGTTACAGTAACTCATTACTAATAATAATATTACTTTCTCCAGTAACTAGCAGTGGAACTAATTACTAATAAATGTCAGTAATTATATTACAGTTACCACCCCAAAAAATAATTATTTACAATATTACGTTTGTTGGCACCCATGCTGATCTGTAATCCAATAATCAATCACATCATTGGATTCATTTTTGTAACCGTGGAGGAAACTAGATGGAAGCTGGAAATACTTAAATTTAGCAGCTGGAAATATTCCATTACTTTGACTTTAACAAACAAAACTGGATTTTAATCATTTTAAGTCAGATTTTTGGGGAGAAGGAACACAATTACAAATTTTTTGGGAAAGTAATATCACTAATAGTGTAACTAATTACTATTGGCAGGAAGTAATGAATCAAGTAAAAATATTACTTTAAAAGAAAAGAGTAATTAGTAATAATAAGTAATGAATTACTTTTTCAACACTGGTCCCCAGGGACCCCAGTCGGTGGTCCTTGTATGTTAGGCTAAATATGTTGGTAGAATGAAGGTTTAAGTTCTTAAATAAATGTTGTGGAAATGCAGCAAAGTGGAAAAAGTTAAAAGTAGCATGAAATGTGGCTCAAAGGTGTATTTTAGTACAGTAGATAGTAGAAATAGAAGTGAATGTAGTTGCTGACATTATTGAATGAATTAATATTATGAATAAGAAAAAAAGCTAAAGTCAAAAATCCATAAAGACTACAAGACTAGAATACAATTTACATCAACCTGATTGCCTGGCAGGAATTTTATCATAAAGTTACCAAGTTGTTTTTATACAATTTGAAAAAATAAACTTTAACTTGAAAGTACAGCTGCTTCATTTCCGCTTTCATCCTGTGCGACTTGACGGAGCTTTGATCGCGAATGGCACAAACACAGGAAGCCGGTCGGCTTCTCACAGAAAGAAAAGGGCTGGGCCTCAACACATCAAGCATGGATCCCGAGATGATCTGTAATACCCTGTCCGCACATCCTCACCTCACCTTCATACCCAGCCGCATGTTAGCGCACATACAGCTCACACAGGGGGGAGGGGAGGGGAGGGGGGGGATGTCTGCCCCCTCCCTCACTGCACAGCATCCTTGCGGACATGCGCATGTTCGGCTTCAGTGTCAATATTGGTAATCATGGGTGTGGCAATCTCAGGAGTGATGCTGGGTACGTTTAGTGCACTGCTTCCCAAAGTCATTACTCAGGCTAAATGTACAACTCTGGCTTTCTGAGATGAAGAATTTTCCCAATCTACCCTCTTCAAAGCTAAATAAAACTATTTGATCCCAACATGTTTTTCATTTGAGTGTTTTGTCAGTGGTGTTTTGCAGGGTCACTGTGTGAAGATTGCAGATTATATGAGATTGCTAAGAGCTCAGTCCGAGCTGGCAGTCTGCCTGAGCTGCAGCTTCCCATCAGGCAAATTAATGTAGGATACTGAATTCTTTAAAGAGCCTTTCCAGATGTATTAATCCATAGAAATGTGTCTGATGTGTTTTTTTCTGCCAAGAAAAGAATAATTTCCACATTAAAATCTCCGATCTCCTCCTGTCTCTTACTAGTCCATTCTCAGTGTGTGTGCACCGGCAGAGTTTCTACATCACACTTCTATAAGTTGCATCCTGGACCAGGATTTGGCTTCCCAACTATTAGTGATGTCACAAATCATGCTCATAGGCCCCTCCTCTTAAAATCAGGTGTTCAATGGGCTCAGAGAAACTTTTCACTTTCAGCAGATGAATGTGAAAACATCTTTATAGTGTCAAACTCTGCACATACATCGTTCTGCACAGTGAAGATCAAACATCCAGCTGTAGGAACAGGAAGAGATTTTGGATCAGAGGGGGGCTTTAAAGCCGGTCAGCAGTGCACCTCAAGGTCAGCTCATTGATCTATTTTAACTCCTGCAATGATATAGTTGAATATACTGTTGATAGCTCTGTAGTATATGGTATAAACACACTGCATTTCGCAGTAGTTACATCAACAAACGCCTTTTTGAAAGCAGCACTTTACAGCCCTGCATCTGCTTTACTAACAATACCAAAATAGGAGGCGGTGTGTAAATAGTAGCACAAAGCAGCAGAGAGGGAAAATGTTCAGCTGCAGCGTTTCAGTTATTTATCACCACTCCACAATGGATCTGCCAAACAGACGGCGCTAATCTTTTGGTTAAACAAACTCCAACATCCAAACGACAGAGCAGGACGAACCAGTCAGACAGGATGAGAGCGGTAACCTGGCAGTGGTCGCGCACACACAAAGCCCTAACTTAGAGCACTCAATGTAATACTTGAGACACTTAACTAGTGCTTAAGCTCTGTAAATCAACTTAAATCCATCTGCCATAGGGTAAGATTATGCAGATGATAGTGATCATGTAAATCAAGTTCCACCCCGCACCATCTCAGAGATGTTTGTTGCTGACATAAAGCTATGAAGTCATTGTTTTGCCTTTATTCCTGTGGTTCATATGTCAACTCAACAGTCCAGTGTGTTGACATGTAGTCCAACGGTTCAGCAGCGTTTGTAGCTTCTGTCAAATTTTAAATGATTTTACTGCCACCTTGTGGATATTTGGCATTATTGCAGCAACATGCACTGCACACGTTCCAGGCGACCACATCCAGAAAGCAGCAAAAATTAAGAGCACACGTTCTCTTTCTGATTTCACATGGAACTTTATTACTAACTAGTGTTGTCCTTGTTTTACAACCACCTGTCCAAAAGGTCACCAGGCGGCTGCAGGGAGGCAGTGCTGTCATTTACAACCCAGGCACCGCCCGTGCCACCAGCCAGCAGGTTAATAATATTATAAATAGCAACATGTAATACAAATGTTGAGTTGCAAGTCATGTTAAGAACATTTACACAGTACGTTTCTGATAGAAAAATGACCCTTTTAAATCCAGTGCCAGTTTCCTTCAATGTTCCAGTGCAATTAGCAGCTGAATAAAATGGAGTCAGAAGCATCTGATACTGTCAGTTTTAGTAAAGGCAGAACCAGAACAATGGCTACAGTATGGATCAGGGCAGGACTACGGTCTTCAATTCAGTACCAGTTCAATTTTTGATTTCATTTTGGTGCCATTTTGTGATATTTCAAGAGTAATTTACTTTACTGACACTCATATGACTTTATGTAAAGCAAAGAAATAAAATGCTAAAAAATGCAAAAAGCTGACGCTGAATTGCAAGTCATAAAAATATCAATGAAAAACATCAATATCCAGTTATATTCTTGCCGTTCACTCTCATTGTCAGAAAATATGAGCATCCCTGAAACAGTCTTCCCCTGCTCCCTAGCACGATGGCAAGAAGTCCAGAAAAGACACGACATGTCAAAACGCAGCTGTCCGCAGTTTACCTCGACAGGATGAATCATTGAAACCGGTGATCCATACAGTGCAGTAGAATAGCTACAATACAGGGTTAACGGGCCTGTATCCCTGGCATTACAGAGCACAGAAATAAGTCATTAACATTAAATAGAACATAGCAAATGAGTTCTCTAATTGACCTGTATTTGATTATTTAACTCATCCCCCCCCTCACACACACACACACACACACACACATAAATTCTGCAGCTTTTATCTGAACTGCTGAATCTCATTATGTGACTGTGCTGTTTGTACTCGCATCCCACGTTTTTGTTCAATGTTCTTTCTTTCTCTCTTCGCTGTATCGTGACACAAGTTTCCGTACTCTCTCCATAAAAACAAACTGTTAAATATATGAATATTAGGCAGCACTTTTCAGTCATTGCTAATAAGTTACAGTGTGCGACACACCAGCTCTGTGGCACACAGTCAGCTACGATCCACCTCCGTCTCAGTAAACCGAGGAAGTTATAAGAAAACATGTCTTTTAGTCAGTGTTAATCATTTTAGTTCAGTAGAAAGTCTGGGATCGGGTAACCAAACAGGTGGAAGTCACCCTGGTAACGTGCGTAGAGGCGCCTGATGTCCCGCTTGCTGATGCCTGAGAAGTAGTGCTCCACCTTGGTCCTGTTGTAGCGGGTGATGCCTGGAGGAATGGCTGGGTAGGACACCAGCTGGTCGATGCCCGCTGCTTTGAGGATGTACGGGGCGTCTTGCTCCAGCGTCTCGTGGTGGCCCACCACGCTGTAGTGTATTTCACACGGCGCGCACAAGTCTGCGTAAGTCACCCAGTGAATAATGTGCTCGCCGAACTGCCGGTCCATGCGGCGGCGCCCTTCCACGTCACCCAAGTAACGGACAAAGTCCTCAAAGTGCAGGCCCGAGGCGGCGAGGTCGCTGTCGCGGTGGCTCTTGCGGTACTTACGGATGATGGCGGGAGCGATGTCATGCTTGTACCAAGGCTCGAAGCGTGGGTTCTTCACAAACTTGTCTTTGAATGCAGAAATGAGGCGCTCGAAGGGATCTCTCACGATGAAAAACTTAAAGTAAGTGTTTAATCTGTTGGTGCACATAAAAGGTTTATGGGAAAATGGTTGTGAAGGATGAAAAGTTGGCCTGTCAAAACATCCTTCTAGTGTCAAACTACTGCACAGTGAAGCTCAAACATCACATCACAAGAAACACAGATTTTGAGAGGAGGAGCTTTTACTGACCTGTGAGTAACTTCCTGCGGCGTGAGTGATGAGAGACGGGGCAGGCCGTTTTTCTCATGGTCATGAACGAGGTTTTCTGGAATCTCCTCCACACTGGAGAAAGCTCCTGTCAGTGTTAATAACACAAGTCATCTACCGCATTAAACAGACCCAGAGTCACAGTGAGTATGCAGCATCATGTTTACAAAGCTTTCACTTCCTTTTTAGGAGATTCCTGACATTACTGTCGTGCTTTGCTTTCCATTACTTATCATTATAGTAAATGTGTGCATTTATTACCTTCATCCAAACACACTCACCGTTGAGCACAATGAGGACCTTCTTCCACTGCGTGTTGCCCACTTTGGGCGTCTGGCAGAATAAGATCTTGTGTTTGTCGCAGACAAAGATGCGGTCCAGGACAAACTTGCTGATGGAGACGTGAGTCAAATTCCTGAGGCTGCTGTTCTTACACACAGATGACAGCAACTCGATCCGCCTCTCAGCGACTGACTGCCAGTCTGCCACTGTGGGTACGGCTGAGGGCTGAGACACACATACACCACTGTGACTGAAAGCCTTGCTTTTAATATGACTGTGTTACTGCAGGGAGAAAAAGTGAATGACTTGGATGGAATACAGTTAGCAATCAGCTGCATAAGTCACCTGATCAGATGGCTTTGGGACTGTTTTTTCTGGGCTGGAGACAGGAATGGGTTTAACCACCTTGGTGCCTGGCACTGTCCAACTCGCACCACCAACCCTCTCTCCATAGTCTGGAAATACACGTTACAGTGGACTGATCACACTCACCCCAACATCTGACTGTATGTAGCACTAAGCATGAGAGAGAGCTTACCGTCTACAGCTCTGAAGCTGATGAACTTGCTGACAAACATGAGGATGAGCAGCACCCAGCCGCAAGCCCCGAGGAGCAGCCAGTGGTGCCGCATCGCTTCGCCCATCAGCCGACGGCCATGGAAACACTGCCCGGCGCTCCCACCTGGACACAGACCGCTGACTGTACTTCACCAGCGAGCTACTCGCTTAAACATCAGCTGACACTACGTCCAATACTTACTGCTGACTGTAAATGAATCACTCAAACATTATATATACATTTTAACACCTCGCTAACTTAGTTAACGTCATCTGCGTGACAAGTTCTAGGAGTTATTAGCTAATGGATATTGTGTGGTAGCATAAAGCTAACAGTTCTGCTTTGAGTTAATGATATGGACAGCTACCAGCGATTAGCATTAGCTCATCCAAACACAGTGGTAAGAACAGCTACTGTTCACTGTATTTAAGCTAGCCAGCTAGCTGGTCAGTTAGTTAGCCGACTAGCTAGCCACACCTGTCCCTCCCAGACAGACACCAGACATGAGGAAGACAACTTGGACCCACGCTAGTCTGTCCCGGTGAGGTTAGTCCAACATGTCGAAGGCGACACAGCGGCGGAGCAGCTTCGTGTCTTACCTTCTCGTCAGGTTTCCAGCTACTTCACAGCTGCACAAACTCTGGAGGAAAGGCTGGACGATGCCATCGCGTCTCTTCTGCTGCGTCCCTGTTGTTCTTCACAACATCCGACTGAGAGCTGCTGCCAAATCAGTAGCGCCCACTAGCGGCTGCGTGGTGTAAGAGCACTTTACTGCCGACATCCACCTCAACTCACTTCGCTTTAGATTTTCACAGCCGCTGTAAATATGTGAATGTGACCCAGTCTGCCAGAGGGAGGACACCACCTGAAGACAATATCTATAGCTGCTCCATACACAGCTCACAGTCAGGATAGTGCAGACATGGTGATGTTACTGAGATATGGCCTTCCTAAATACATGGCTACAAGTACTGCACTGAACAAACACACAATACTTTGGATGGAATATTTCAAATGAATCATACACAGTTCAGTTGTTTATATGGGCTGCACTTCTCCACTGTGTTAAATACACTTAGTATCTCCTGAGTGCTTAATAAAAAGACTAGATGAAATTCTTCCATTATATAGTCGTGATAGTTTAACAGCCTGCATTATCCAGCTGAAATGTTGAGTTGGACGCATCTGACAATTTATACTGTCCATATATGAGCCGAACATCTCAATGACATGCCAGGGTTTGGTTTTTTTTTGCTAAACACAGAAGACTCCAAATCCATTACAATTTATTGATAACAGATACATCTGTCTGCATCCCTGAACCGACTCTTCACTGTGCAAAGGGAGGAGCAGTGAAATCAAGTCTTCTAAATCAACACGTCCTTACAAACCAGTTCTGTTTCCAGTGTATTGGGTAAAGTTCTAATTGACATTTATAATTAATGTTTAAGGGTTAATATTACTGCTGAGGACAGTATTTCAGTACGTTTGTCTGCAATAACCATTAATCCAAATTCAAGACGCATCCCAAGTATTTGCAGAAACATAAGTAAAGACACAAGACAAGGTTTTTTTTCTTATTTTTCATTTATTCCACTCGCAGAGGGGACAAATTTAGTTTTCATCAACATTGACCGTCTGCAGACCTGTTGGAGAAAGAGAGGGGGAAGGAAATTAATGAATTGTCTTTATTGCTTCAGTAGGTGAATGACATTAAAGTCAGTTTGCTGCATATTTACCTTTGCATGTGGTGACAGGAACATATGTGACCAGGGTGTACAGTTTGTTGGGAGAGTCCTCGTCCTCATTGCGCTTCCTGGACAGCCGTACGCGTATCCTGTACGGCACGTTCCTGCACGGCACAAACAATGTGACGGTTAGCATCTTCACTGATAGGTTGCCCAAACTCTACATTGGCTATGTAATACCTCATAGCACCAACTTGCTCTTCATGTTGGGGTTCGAGTGTCAAAATTGTCAACACATTGGTGCTAACCGCAGCAGTGTGCCATAGACGGTATACATGCTGCCCCACTTTGTGTACACAACCCCCAACTGGATGCTGAGTACTTCAGTGAGCCAATCACAATGGTATCCCATTTTCAGCGTAAAGTACTGGTAACAGGAAATGCAGTTTATGCAAACTTTTTTTCCTCATATCTTGCAGACTTTTTCCGCTGATGACCGTACTGAAAGTGACCAACACCTCACTCAGAATAAAGGATCTGTCACAAAGTCCTTCAACCATGAGCACAGAAGTTCTATAGGTCTGTCTTGAAATCATCAACCACAGTGACCTCTTAGTATTGTGCATACAGTCGGGCTGAGCGAGTCTAACATTTTCATATCCTGATTATTTCTGAAAAAAGACTCTTGCCCCTGCGGAAAAATAGTCCACCAAAACAAAAACATTTATTCTAAACATACAGCTGTAATTGGTTTGCTTCTCACAGGTCTTAATTTTAAGCTGGTGCCAGTGTTACATTGCACATTTCACCTGGTAGCTTACATGTTGAACAAAAAGTACCAATGGATTAACACTTAGGTGACTGCTATATTATAAAGAAACCCTACATAAACCATCACAGCACAGTGAGTGTAGGTGTAGACTTGGGGGCCAGACATTACTCTGGTTTGATTAAAACAAAAATATGTCTACCACAGATCGCTCAGGTCATGATGGCATTGCATTTTGCTCACATACACAAGTCATCAGAGTCTCATCTCACCTGACACCCTTGCTCCACACTGCCTTGTTGAGGCGAGTGTCAATGCGGACATCAGGAGTTCCCATCTCCTTCACGGCAAACTTGCGGATCTCCTTGATGGCACGTGGGGCCCTCCTCTTGAAGCCCCTGCGAGGACACAACGCCGTTACTCAGGTGGAATTAATCGACTCCAATACTGATCATTTGTTGTGTCACTCATCAAACCACACTACGCTCGCTGGTATCAGTTTTAAACAAATATGAGCTATAAGCCTTAAATTGAGTGAATCACTGATTAATCCACACTTTAAAACGGCAGTGATAGAACTTGTACTTGCAGCACTGCTCAGCACATTTCAGCACTGACAACAAACATTACTACCATATTCATGCACAAAGCAGCAGGTGTGCAACTTAATAAAGAAGCTCACTGAACTGGTTATGAGCTCACTGACAGTCAACATACAATAAACTGCACTCATGTGCCTGAATCAAACATTTCCAGAGTGCGTCCCTGCAGTACTCACACTCCGTGGATGCGCTTGTGGACATTGATGGTGTACTCTCTGGTCACAACCTCGTTGATGGCTGAACGCCCCTTCTTTTTCTCTCCTTTCTTGGTTGGGGCCATCTAGAAACAACATAGGTACGTTCACGTTAGGGCTTTGTTAAGTGTTAACATTAAATACAAGCTATTTAAACGACAAACTGGGGTGTTTGCAGACTTTAACGCGGCGCATCTGCTGCACTAATGTGAGCATAAAGCCGCTGTAACGTTGTTCAACATGCAGACTTTACAGGAAGATAAATAACACTGAAGTACAGTAACTTAGAAAATGGCCGGTGTTTGAGGTTATAAGCTGTGTTACAGTACAATAGTCTATCTAGCTCCGAAGAAAATGTGAGCAGTGACACAGAAAGGCTACGTGAAGCCACTCCGGTCGACTCAATGCTCCCGTCCGTCGCCATTAAATTAAGCTATTAAAAGACGTTCAATCCCACCAAAAACCTCATATAAAAGATAATGGAACACTTATATGTACATTTATACCAAGTACGTGGTTAATTCTGCCTTTAATATCGCAGGATGGGGTTAGATTGTAGAAATATCATTTCCGAATAAAATACTCACCTCGGCTCGTAGTTGAGGCGGAAGTCGGAAGGACGGACTTAAGGCAAAGGATTGTGGGTAAAGGAAACCGGTCCGTTTTCTTTTGATGTTCGTCAAGAACAAACGATTAAAGGTTCCTTCTGTTGTTACCTCGCCTCGTTCAACACTTTATTTATACTGACTTTGTACAAACTGTCCATTTAATAGTGAAAATGTAAAGATTTAGAGATAATGGAGACTGTGAGATGAATTATAATGGCAGTTTGTTATGATTAGGAACATGTGTAGTTCGTGGTGTGCAGTAATTATTCCTCTTTCTTTTGAACAAGAATGGATGTGTATTATGTTTGATGGGCTATTGCAGCTGAATGACCCACACAAAAAAATAGTAATTGATTGTACAAGGTTTTTGAATCAGTTTAAAACAGAATGTAAGAGACATTTCAACAGATCTTTTATTGTATTAGGTTTATGAGATGTCAGACAACTGTATTTGTCTATTATGTAGAAGATAGCTGTAAGTTTTACACCATTGCATAAATGATTAAAAAAATGTATATCCTCAATAAGAAATTAAGACTTCCTGGAAGAAATGTAGCTAGATCCTCCAGAGGATCGTAAGAATTCTTAATAAAAGACTAAATTATAAAAAGGTAACACAACCCTAAAGTGGCTGGTTATACGTCAAATTCAGCACTTACCTCAAAATGCAAAAGTTTGCATCTCATGGCCGTCCTCGTAGCTTTTGTTATAGTAATTCAACGTGACAATCTCGATAAAAACTAGCACTGCATTACAAATAAAAAAAAATGTCATTCTACATTTATTTTACAGTAAAAAAATACAGCGTTAAACCAAATATCATTCCTCACACATCTCAAAATTGACCTTGCACCTTAGACAAAATAAATATGAAGTAGGAAAAAGTGTTTTCCAACAACATAGAGTTGTGGTCAGACTAAAAGATAGCGGGCTACATCAGAGCCCAATCTCTCCTTTTTCTGTAATGTCACTCAAGTCACAGTTGCATGGCCGGGAGGAGGTGTCATGTTGAATCCAGGGCTCTAAGATAACAGCCATTTTCCATTCTTATTATGTTCTTTAAGCTGTTCAGTGCAACACTGAAGTTGGGTTTGTCCATTGAATTTGTGTCCGAGCACTCGCAGCATGCACAACCTGCTCTTTTCAAGTGTCACTTGTTGAACTAAAGAGTGTTGATACAACCACATCCCAGAGGTTCAGTTTATCCACCTGTTCAAGTCTTTTTTTATTGTGACTGGCTGGTCAACCACTGGAACACAGAAACGTGATGTGGAGCTGAATTTAATTATCTTTTCAGTCATTTCTTTTTTTTTTTTTTATCTAAGCAGTCTAGTGTCTTTTCCTATCAGGAACGTTTTTGGCTCCTTTTTGGATGGTGTGGGCTGGTGAACGTTAAGTAGAGGACTTCCACATGGCAGTGTTGGAGATCTGGTACTCTGCAGTCTATAATGTGCTCTCACTTCAGTTCATTTCATTTCATTTCATTTCAGGGAGACATTGCCAAACCATTCAAAACAAATACATCAAGCAAACAGCAATTGTGTTTCCAAAGACTGACAGTTATAACAAATTACATTCAATGAAGGAATAGTTTGGCAGTGCTTACTCATGAGAAACATTCAAGTCCCTGCAGGATGTTTCAGTGTTGTTGCTCAGTAACCCTCTGCAGCAAATGTGATCGATTTGCTCTGCAGATATTTTGTAATATGGTGTAAACAAAATGGGAATAACATCAAGTGTCACATTATCTGAAGGCTGAACAGTCACTTCATACAAAGCAAAAGACCCGTTACAAAAATCAACATCTAACCATTTTAATGCACAGTTGTAGTAACCAAATGCACAATATATGAAAACAAAACAGTCATTTGAACTTGGTTAGGCAGGTGAAACTGACAATTAAAAAGCTGCTCTAAAACACTAATGCACAAAAAAAAAAAAAACATGAAGTCATTTCAGGTGTGTTTTATGTTTCTGGTACATGGTTCATCACACCACCTCCATAGGCTAGAATGTCCAGTAGTCTATGGCACAGCACTTGCATATCATCCAAAACATGTAAAGCGTAACTGAGTAAGATTCACAAGTTTGCTTGTTTTTCTTTATTCCCTCTCATGACTAAAAAGGCTAGGTATTGTACTGAAATCGGACAGAGTCAGGGGAGAGTAAGTAGTAAAGGCTTAGAAGCGTTCACTTTCATGTGTTTGACTCAAGTAAGCCCCATTTCTTTCAGGACACACACACCTCAGGCTGCGCTGTGCTGAGCTTACTACTCCCAGCTGCAGCGACCTCGGCTGTTGGTGCTGACCCACCGTCTGACCTTTCTGGGCCCGAGGCCTGGCCGGCCATTGTCCTTCTGAAGAGACGCATGCTCATCTGAAGCAGATCGTTGTCTACTACAGGCGTGGTGAGGTACTGCTTAGTTAGGCCCTGAAGAAGGAGAAGTACATTTAAACACATCTCGCAATATTTAAATAATGGCCTGGTGAGAATATAGCTAGGATCGACATTGTTACTGCAGTATTTAATTCATCGTCCTGTCAGTGATTGGATGTACCTTGTCGTTTTTTAGCAGCTGCCGGCGGATGGCGAAGTCCCTGCGGGCACACAGGGCCTTGCAGCAGGGCCCAAGGTTGGTCAGTAAACCTGCCCTCTCCACCCGCCTGTTCAAGGCTGCCATATTCAGGGCCCCCAGTTCATGTTCAAACAGCTTCTCAGCATCTGGAAGACCAGAGTTGACAGTTTTAGAAGAATGGATCATAAAAAAACTCAACTGAACTAAACAGAATTCTAGATAAAGAACACAAACTCCACAACAACGCCCATTGTCAAAATCACCACTGTAAACTGATTTTTAAATGGTTATAATTTAAACAATGTAATCACAAGGATTCATTTCAGGGTTTAATGATGTCAAAGCTCTCACCTTTGGGGTCATCCAGCTCAGACTTGCACACCTCTTTGACTTGCTCCATGAGCTCGGACCCAGCAAGTCGCTTGGAGATGCCGGCCCGGAGAAGCACAGCCCCTGGGGTGAACCGGAGCAGCGCTGCCCCTGCTGCCCGGGGTTCCTGCTTCTGTTTGGGCATCAGGCTGGACCAGTCCACATCAATCACATCCAGAGGACCTGTCAGCACATTGAGGGGTTCATTTTAAAAAGGAACATCTGAGGAGTGCAACATTGTTAACCAATCAATCCCTTAGGCAAAAGTAAACATTTCCATGTGAATAATCTCCATAAAAAAGGTATTTCCTGGTACCTGTAATTTTCTCATCGTCTTGCTGGTCCTCTTTTTTCTGGCTGTCCGCCAGAATTTCATCCAGCTCATCATCACTGATCGGTTCATACTCTTCTCCAACAGACGCGACCGACTGCCCGTCGTCTTCTTTTCCGTCATCGTCCCCTGAGAACAACGCACAGATTCCCTTCAATCCATGTTGGTAAAAAAAAAAAAAAATTCAAAAAAATGCAAATGTGTTTGTTTTCTTACCGTCGATGCTGTCTGTCTTCTCCAGCTCCCGCGGCTCTCCCATCAGATGGTGACTGTTGCTCGGTTTCTCCGGCTCTGGAGGGCTGAAAGCTTCTCTTGGCAGCAGAGGTTCATATTCACTCTTGTCCTGTCTCATCATGTCCCCTCGTAGGTCTCCTCTGATTTCACCCCTCAGGTCCCCTCGCCCTGGAGCCCTGGGGTCACCGTGGGGCAGCAGGTCCATCATCATCATCATCCTCTCCCTCTCTCGATCGACGCCTCTGCCGTCCCTCTCACGCTCCCTCTCTCGCTCCCTCTCCCGCTCCCGTTCGTGCTGCTGGATGAGTCCTTCGGGGAGTAAGCGTTCCCTGTCCCTGATGTCCCGCTCCCTCAAGAGAGGTTCACGGCCAGGACGCATCAGTAGGGGCTCCCGTCCCCTGCTGGGCCAGTCCCTGGGTTCGGGCTCCCAGTCTCTCTGTTGTGGTAGGGGCTGCTGGAGGAGCAGCGGCTGCTGCTGCTGCTGCTGCTGTTGCTGCTGCGGCGGCCGGAGGTCCTTTCGGTCTCGCTCCCGCTCAAACGTTTCCCTCTCTCTCTCCCGCTCTCGGCTGTCGTAGGAGCCAGCACGAGACCTGGCCTGCCTCTCGGAGTCAGGGGAGCTGCGTCTGGAGCTGTGGCTGCGTGAATCTTGTCGGTCTGTAAGACAACAGAGACAAGTTAGAGTGGGATCAGAGTTTTAATTAAACGTGATCCTGGAAGCAGAGTTTATAAAAAGTGTGAGTGTTTATCTACCTGAGGAGGTGCTGCGGCTGGGCTCTCCTCTCCTCAACTGGTCAATTCGAGACTTCCTCTCGGCTCCCGGAGGGTCATTCACAACCGGCCTGTCTCTCTCCCGCTCTCTCTCCCTTTCTCTCTCCCTCTCTCGTTCTCTTTCTCGGTCCCGAGAGTTGGTGCCCTGCAGACGGCCCCGGCGGGATCGTGGACCTTGGGGATCTTCTCTGTGGGCGGACTCGTTGGAGGGTGACCGCAGGCGCCTGGATGACGTGCGGCTCTGGTTGCTTCCCATGCTGCTGCTGCGTGTCTGCTCTGGGGGAGGTTTGCGGAGCAGCTGCTGGGACATGAGGGGCTGCGGAGTCAGAGTCTGCAGCAGTATCGGAGGATCCTGGGGGATCAGTGGGGCAATGGAAGGGGGGTTGCACCGCTCCCTGTCCCTGCCCACCCTGGGAGCACCTCTCCGAAGAGGCTCAGCAGGAGCCCTCTCGGCAGGAGCCAGGGGAGCTTGTGTTTCCAGAGGCCCTCCTGCTCGGTCTGTGACCTCCTCATCTGACCAGTCACTGAAGTTGTCCATTTTAGACAGTGGAGACGGCTCTGTGTTGCCTCCAGTACCGCGGTGATCGGGCCTGATCGAGGGCGGTGGAGTCCGTGGACCTCTTTTCTTCTTAGTATGTGGCTGATGGGCTGATGAGTCCTCATCGGACACATCGGATTCTCCTCCCCGTGACCGTTTCCTCTTATGCTCAAGTGCCTTTTTTTTGGGTACTTTCCTGGGGGAGAGTAAAGGTGGCGGTCCATCTGTGGAAACGCCAGTTGGGGGCTCGGGGTTGAAACGATCTCCTGCGCCAGCCAGACTGCTGCCACCAGCAATCTCCTCTTCTTTGCGACCCTTCCTCAAGACCTTCCTCTGCGACTTTGTCTTCTTTTTGCCCTCCTCATGTGACTGGGAGCCAGCTGTGTCTCTGTCGTCGCTGACAGCGGCGAGGGCTGGAGGAGGTGGAGGCGGCGGCGGCGTGGATTCTCGCTGGCCTCTGCTACGGGTGTCAGGGGCGTCTGCAAGGTGCTCTCCTCGTCTGTCGCCTCCTCTGACTCGTTCCCCACGAGGCTCCAGGTCCTCGAGGCGGCTGCGTGCTTCCCTTTTATCCCCGGCTCCTCTGCGCTCCTCATCCTTCCAGTGACTAGGCTTGTCGTCGGATGGAGCGGCTCTTGGCGGAGAACGCAGCAGGGGCTCCTGAGGCCGCACCACCTGGCTCAGCAGACGATGTTTGTCGCTACCTGCACATGCACACGGAATGGTCACATAACCACGCTCAGTACTTTTCATTAAAGCAATCAGTAAAATAACAGCAGACTGTCTCTCTGTGCCAATCCTGGAATACCAGTTTAGGCTTTTCATTGGAGGAATTTGCCATAATTATTGCCTTATGATATAAATGTCCTTTCCTTTAAGGTTAAGCTAGTCTTGTAGATCAATTAAAGAAAAACGAATCCTTAAAACTGGGGTGTCCTCCACACACAGTGCTGCAAAGAAGGTAAAAATGTTGAAATTTAAACTGGCAATAACTTACTTTGAGAGACTGATTTTAGCTCATTTTGTTCACTTTGATATTGATATTAGCGATACATTGGACAGTACTGGAATGCATGCAACCAAAAGATTTTCCCTACTGTCAGATGGAGGCGGACACACTGGGCTGGGGAGGAGAGGCTGTGGGTGGAGCTTAGCCTGCCCTCGGCCAATTGGGCGCTCACTTTTGTCTTCTCCACTGTTGTAGCCGTCGCTGTCCGCCGGACTGAATTCTCGTGTCGCTCGCTTAGGCGAGGGTCGGGGGCTCGGGCTGCTCTCCACCCTGGTTCTCTTACGACTGAAGTGAGAGGAGAGGGAAAAAAATTACATAAGTGACATTTGAAGAGTTCCACAGGGCTCATGTCTAGAAACAAAGATTTAATAAGAAACAAAACAAATAAAAACTGATACATGCCTCGTCTTGCGGTCGTCCCGGGTGTCTCGAATGGACCGCTCGTCCCTGGTGTCGTCTCTCCTCTCCCGCCTTTCCTCCCTCCCTCTCTCTCGCTCCTCCCATTCCCGCTGCCTCTCTCGCTCCCGCTGCTCCCTCTCTCTCTCCCTCTCCCTTTCTCGCTCCTTCCTCTCCCTCTCCCGCTCTTCGCGCTCCCTTTCCCTCTCCCTCTCCCGCTCCCTCTCTTCGCGCTCCCTTTCCCTCTCTCTCTCCCTGGCCCGCTCCTTCTCGGCCTCCCTCTCTCGCTCCTTTTCCCTCTCCCTCTCTCGCTCCCTGTCCTTCTCCTTCTCTCTCTCCCTTTCCCTCTCCCTGTCTCTCTCTCGCTCCCGGTCGCGGGTCCTGTCCTCTCGCCTCCCATCTGCTCTATCTATCCTGCGGTCATCCCTCCTCTCCTCCCTCTCAGACTCTTCTGATCTCCCCTGGTGTCTATTTGGGGAGGCTGCTCTTTGATCTAGGAAAACAGAAATTGAAAAAGTAGTAAAAAAGTAAGTCTTTTTGCTTCCGGTTCAGATTTTGTAAAAATTTCAAATAAAACAATCCCTCACCCCCACCTCTGTCTCGGTTGTCTCTGCGGTCCCGCTCTCCATGCCCCCCTCTCCTGTCGTAGGAGGAGTCTCGGGCTGGCTCTCCTCTTCTGTCTCCCTCATAGCGGTCACGGTCTGAACCCCTCTCAGAGCTCCTTTCCGCAATGCTGCGATCTGTGCTTCTTTCCGCGCTCCGTTCACGCACTGCACTGCTCCGTGACTCCCAGTTGTCATGGCTGCTCTCCAGCTGGGAACCCCGGGAGTTCCTGTTAGAGCCTTGTGGAAGAAAAAATTACAGAAAAATTACTTGAAAGAGAATTTTTTTTTTTTTTTTGTTAAGGCCACAAATAAAATAAACTATGGAAATGAACCCTGAATGAGAGGTCAGTTCTTGCCTTTATCAGATGTTTCATTAGCGCGCCCTCTCCCTCTTCCATTCCTCTCAACTCTGTCTGTCCTGTTCTCCGTCCTTCCTTCAGCTCTCCCTCCATCTTCACGCCCATGACCTCTCCCGTAACTCCTGTCCTCCTGAGCCGGCTCCTCCTTCCTGTGGGTGTCAGTCCTCTCCCTCTCTCTCTCCTTTTCCCGCTCTCTCTCCTTCTCCCTCTCCTTCTCCCGCTCCCTCTCTCGTTCCCGCTCGCGGTCGCGGATTTCCAGCGACTCTCGGCTGGAGCGGGTCTCTGTCCTGCTCTCTCTGGAGTCCTTTACATCCCTGGTGTCTCGGTGGTCACGAGAGTCTCGGGTCGGTTCCCTTCCTCGATCGCGAGCGTCCCTTCGCTCGCGGGCCTCTCTTGCCTCCCTGTCCTCTCGAGTGTCCCGTGATGAGACCTGTTCAGAGTCATAGTCCCGGTCGTCGCGGACGCTTTCCTTCTCTCGCTTGCTGCGGCTGTCTGTTTACAAGAGAGACACAAAGCTTAACTGATGAAAGGAATAATGCAACATTTAGTAAGCTGTTGTGCCAAAATCCAAGCAGTAGCATTTAATGGGTTAAATGTGGTCAAATGAAAAAAACAACTACAGTACTAGAACATAAAGTTACCATCTCTGCGCTCATGTCTGCGCTCCTGTACAGGCGGACTCCTCTCTCTTTCCCCGCGGCTCCTCTCGCGGCCCCTGGAGTGCCGCCTGCCGGGGCTCGACCTGTCAGATCGCCGGTGGGGCGATGAGGCGTCATGGGAGGCAGGAGGCGATCGGGAGCGCCGGGAGCTCGGAGGCGAAGAGGTCGAGGCCTGAGCTGCTGCGCTCCGGTGGTAGGCGGGAGAGGACGAGCGGCGCCGACGAGGGGACGCAGAGTGCCGCTGGGCGGAGGAACCCGAGTGGGAGGAGGGGGAGTGGTGGCGGGGAGGAGTTGGGGTGCGCTGGCGCCGTGGAGGAGATGGAGACCTGCAATGATCAAGGACAGTTTTTTCCTGGCAGACTTAAACTCTGCTGTTCGGAGGAATCATTGCTCAGTGCTTCATGTGCACTAACCTGCGAGGAGGGGAAACCAGTGCAGGGGTCTTATGGGATGAAGCTTTAGGAGAGTTGGATTTCTTCATGGCTGAGGGTGAAGTGCCCCTAGAAGGCGATGACACACTACCAGAGCGCTCCTCTGATGTCACTGATCGCTTGGCCTTGTGGGAACTGTCTGATCGGTCCCTATAAACAACACGTTCAAAAGGGATGAGAGTTAGAAGTTGAAGACAAGTTTTCTAAAATGAGCACAAAAAACTATAAAATTAACATGCTGTGTGATTATATTATTTAGACAAAGTTGGCCCATCATCCACACCGTACCTGCGTTTTTCCTTCTTCTCTTTGTGTTTTTCCGTATCCCGTCCCCGATCTTTCCCTTCCTTCTGCTTCTCCACCGACTTCTCCTTGTTTTTGTGCTTGCCTTTGTGTTTCTTCCCCACCACAGGGATGTCCAGAGGGACTGGGGGAGGAGGACTGGGTGTACGGGGCCCTTTCTTTTTACTGTGGCTCCCTTTTGAAGACCTGCTTGGAAGTGGACAAAAGATATCAGTTATATCTTTTTCAAATATGATAATTATATATTCTACTGTACAAGAGTATAAGATGAGTGCAGTGGATTGCATTGCAATGTCAGATGGTCATCCATGGACACACAGTAGTAACATCTGCACACAAAACTTAATGGCCACCAAATGTCACCAAAGTCTCTTAGATCTACCCAAAAGCTAAAAAGCAAGCCAAGCCACAGACTCCTACCTGGCAGATTCTAAGACAGGTGAGGACACTGACGCCTTCTTCTCTTTTTTCCCAGAGCCGGGGCCTTTGGTTCCCCCTTTGTGTTTTGGGGATCCACTGGACTTCCTGGGTGAGGGTGAATCCTTATTTCTTAACTGCTCGGGGGAGGCCTGAGGGACAAGGATGAGTGGCAGTGAGGTAGAGATACTTCAGAAAATACTTTCAGACTGAATGCCAAAAAAAATAAAATCATTCTTTGCTTACCTTCGGCATGGCGGCGGCTCTAGTCTTGGTGGGGACTTCATCTTTCTTGATGATAATCTCCTCCCTCTTTTCCAAATTCTCCTGCTCCAGAATCATCAGCTCACGTTGAATCTTCTGGCGCTTCATCTCTAGGGATAACTCGTAATCGTAGTCACCAATATCTGAGTCTTAAAGTCAAACAATAAAAACAGAGACTTCTAAAGAAGAGCCCAGATCTTATGATGTCAAATTCCACATTAATGTTTTTTAGTTAATTCAAAATTGTAAAATCAAATGAAAAAAAAACAAGCTTTTGAACCTTCACGATTGGCTTCCCACTCTGTGGGCTCTTCTTCACTGGCTGGGGTGCGCTCCTTTGTGATCTTTATATCCTCCTTCTCCCTGTGTCGGCCTCTGGAGGAGTCTCTCTGCTGTAGATGGGCACACATAGATGAATAAGATATGTGTGTTGCAGTTCCAGGTTAAAAAATTATTTACATTCAAAGTCAAAATCAGATTCAGGCTCGGCGACAGCACCGCAGCATTTCTCTTTATTTTAAAAACCTGCCATCATTGGCTGATAGATTTAAACTAGAAGAGACCGAAAGAGCATAGAACTCACTCTCGCTGGGGGGGATGTGGGCTCGTCTAGGTCTCGCTTCAGGTTTTCTGGGTCAACATCCTGTCTTTTATTCTTCATCCTCTCCCGCAGATCACCTGTGGGTCTCTCGGCTGACCTGCTCCGTTAAGACAAACACACACACGATCAATGAGTCAATAACTCTATGGATAATAAAATGTTGTGATGTGAAAAGGATCAGAAAAAAGTAATCATAGGTCCAAAAATGTATGTCCTGAATATCCCATTCCTAAAACATCACACAGAAATCCTGACTGCCAAAACAAATTCAAACATCTTACCGACTGAAGCTAAATCCTTTGCCTCGTGGCTGAGTTCCATGTGTGTAGCGACAAGTGTTGCCGTAACTGCAATTACCGGTCTTCAGCCAATTTCTACAGTGACTCTGAAAGACACAAACAAATGAGCCTGATGAGAAACAGCAACCAACCTCCACTCAAGTCAGACAGCCATCACAGTAGGGATACTAGGAAATTAAAGGTGCTATTATCAGCAGGTCAAGACTTCTTAATGCCTGCTGCAGGAAAGAGCAAGCTCTTTACATATTTAACAAGGGAGAGCAGGCACGAAAACATAACTACATCCTCTGGGTGTGCTGGAAGTCTCAGTCGGCATCCCTTGTTATACATACATCAGCAGCATTACTCCCAGTGCTGGGGCCGAGTCTCTCAAACACACTGGGCCGGCGGGAGGGGGCGGCGGGGTTGCTGGTGCTGCTGGTCGTGGTGCTGCTGCTGCTGCTGCTGTCAGATATGGTTTTTGAATTCTCCACTGTTACCTTCCGCCTGATCTTGGACATTCTGCAGGACTGGAAATACGACAGAGAATGCTTAACGGCATGTCTGAGCACTTATCTGCATCAGCACATCCATACACACACCAGAAGACCTAAGCAGGGAAGTTTAATGAGTATTAAAAGTTAATGGACTAATTCATTCCTGCAAGCAGAATAATTTCCATCTTTGCTGCTGCTTTTTTTAAGTGAGGAAGGGTTGTGATAGTCAAGGATGCCTGACGGGTTAGATCAAACGACATTAAAAACAATATTTATTAAGCTGCTGTCCGCCGATCTCTCTCTGCTGTGTTCTGCAGCCCTGAATTCATTCATTCATTTATTCATTCAGAGGGCAGGGACACAGATCTCCCCACTCTAAATAACGACTTTAAAAAAAAAAAAAAGTTCATGCAGAATCTTTCCATAAAGATTTGAATGTATAGACCCGACTTCCTGCAGCGCTTGTTCTCCAATAGGTAGCGACCCGTCCGAAACATAAACACATGCAAATGTCCCGGCCTGTTGTTGTCTGTGCAGCTAGGCTCGCATGCTAGCTTAAGGTTAGCTGAAGTTCCTAAGCGACTGCGCGACTTTAATTCAACTCCTGAAGTATCTTGCGCTCACACGAGTCCATTTGAGATGAAACAGTGAAGCCGGTGAATGGCTGGCGTTCAATATTAGTTGTGCACGCCTCACGCTGCGGACGGAGGCTAATGCTAAAGTTAGTGAACCAATAATGACTTCATGTCTTATCTCAGCGCGAGGCCTTCCAGCCGCCGTCAGTCGCGTGCCTGCTACACACCGTGAACATTAAAAATAAAATAAAAAAAACTTCTTACCCGAGATATTGAGTCGGTGTCGCATCTACTTTAGTCCAGTTAGTGGCTTCAGCACTTGTAGAAATAACAAGGCTTATTCTTTAAACTCAAAGGCAGAAACTGCCCTCGGTGCCTTCATATTGGCGGAGGGTGCGCATCATTGGTCCTCTTCTTCTTCCGTAGTTTGTGACGACGGTTCGTGCTCCACCGCCATCTACCGAATATCCTGTACCTAGTTCCCAGCATGCACCTCGTACTGCTCCGCGGGGTACATATCAGCCGTACTCTAGCTAATAACCATGTATCTCCCCAAAAAAATACCGTCCTAATATCACTAATTAGGACAAATAATTGAAGTGTGTTTATGTTTTTGCGTCCTGGCTGTTGTGAACGCTGTTTAATGTAGAGTTGTAATCAGTGTGTGTGACCACCAGGGGGCGGTAACATTCACGATGAGATACAACCGTCAAGGCAGACACAATAGGATACACCGGTTTCCGTTTAACTCCTACAAAATAATATTATCCAACTGGACAGAAATACAATTTAAATCAGTTATTACGATTTTTGACGTTAATTGTGGTATTTATAGTAATTCACATTGACTGACAGATTTTGATCATTATAATAACAATTATATAGACAGTTAATACTAATATGAAACTTCATGAGACGTCCACTCTACAAGGCAGAAACCGGATAACTCCTACAAAATAAAATACCCCATGTCGATAGAAATGTGGACACAACATTCACACAGCAAGATAGATTTTTATTCTTTCATTTATTTATTTATTTTTTCAATGCACAGCTTCTGTATAAGAGAGCATTACATCGTGCAGGGGTTTACATTATTTGTACACACATTATTAACACCATCACTGAAATGACTATGACCTTATTATTGATATCTGCAAGAACAAGAATAATCAGTGTTAATATCTGTGTGATATATACATGATGATGTAGTTTTCATTGGAACTACCTTCTACCTGAGTGTGGCACAACAATACCAAGAAGAAAGACACTGACACTAAATGTCTTTATACAGTTTTTATGTCCACAAATTTGTCTTAATTAATAAAATGCTAATGTAATAATAAAAATGTTTCCTGTAAATGCATACACTCAAAGCAATCTCTGCAAAATAGACACCCATAATTTAATGTTAGACTAGAGGAATGCTACAAAAACATCTCCTTAAAGCAGAAAATACCCTGAATAACAATCAGAATATTCTCAACAATGTGTACTAAGCTCTTACAGGCTAGCTGGTCTTTTACTAATACTACAAACTCTGGGCTTCATTCACAAAAATGGCTTCAAATATTGAACTCTCAGTCTTAATGTCAGGTGCAACTGCTTAGAAAGTTGGAGGAGGATTCGTTGGGGCTTGTGTTTTCTCTACAACCCTGAGAGCAATGGTCTTCACAGCAATCAGAGCTTCATTGCAGGCCCTGGAAATGTGAGACGGCGGCAGGAGGAAGCCATAACGCCCGCGGTCCTGGAGCTCAAACGTGAAGGAGTACTTGATGCCGAGTTTGTACGCCCAGTCATCAGAGCCACCAGGAGCCAAGTCTGGAGAGCAGACAATGGCACTCGTATGAGAATCAAGTCAAGGTCACTTTGCTTGAAGAATAAATCCTACTTACATATTGTCTTTGCTCCAGCACCATATTTGTAGGTGTTCTTATAATATCTTCTGATTTTCTGGGCAGCTTCTTCAGCCATCTCAAACTTTAAAAGAAAAGAGAGCATTTACACATTTAGAAAGGACAACTAAGGGGAGACACTATAGGTGAATAGGGTAAACAAAATTAACTAATAGATATCACCTTGAAACCTCCCCAGTTGACAATTCTTTTTTGTATTACAAGTATTCTGAAATTGTAGGTTTAAATATTCAAATGAGACCTGATCTAATGCAAACTTTTGGTGAAATCTACAGACACAAAAAAGTGTAGTCAAATAAGCACTCAAATGTGTATTCAGGGAGTTTTCTTTCCACAAGTATGAAAGAAGACATGTAATGGAAGCAAAATAGCCCAAAATGTCAAATTTGACCACTGCATTAAAATAACCTGTCTGTTTATTCTGAGGTGAGTGGGAACTGTGGCATCAGCTGACAGACAACATGCTGCTTAAATAGGAAAGCTTGAGTGACAGCAGCACTCACCAGCACTCTGTGGTTCTCCACTTCCTCTAAGGTGCAGGAGTACGGGAAGAGCAGCATCTGGGAGTAGGAGTGGATGCTGAGGTAGAACTGAACCGAGTCCTTGTGGCTGCGCAGGAAGTCGGCCACGGCCTGGGACTCTGGTTCTGACTCGGGGAACTCGCCGCAGTAGATCTCAGAGCAGGGCTCATTGGAGGCCCCCTCCGCTGGAAGAAACAGCATCACTTTATCTTCCTGATGCTCCTGACACACTCATATATGATCAGTTAGCAGAGGAGAGAGTTCAGTGTGTTTATCAAAAAGGAAATGTATGATATTTTCCTTTAAATGCAAGTACTTACAGGAAAATGTGGGGAAAAAGCATGTGTCACAGTTAAGGATTCAAGATATTGTTTTAATGGAGTGAATATAACACACATATTCTCAGATGATTAGTAAGAAAGGAATGTCTTGTCTTGAAATATTTCTGCCTCACAGGACAACGGGTGCTGGAACTGTAATGTAATGTGGGAGGAAGACTTACTGCACCAGTTGGCATCAAAGTTCCTGTTGAGGTCGACTCCGATGCAGCCGCTGCTCTTGCTGACAGAGCGGTTCTTCCTCCACATCCTGTTCTGAGACAGCAGAGACAGATCATGAATCCAGTTGAAATAGCTTCCCTTACAACCGCTCGAGCACGACAAACCCAGATCTGCTTACTGTTGTCCACGTGTACTGGTATCCATCAGGGTTCATGACAGGCAGGACGTAGACGTCCATGTTGTCCAGGATGTGAGTGATATCTTGGTTTTGCCTGTAAAATCCCAAAGACTGAGGGAGGAGGGACATTGAGTCTTAGTGCCAGACCACAAACTAATAGAAAACAATGTTACTACAAGACATTTCCAGCCTGTTGATACTAGATTAAATGTACTCACATACTGTACAAACCATAAGCAGAAAGCAGGAGCGATCCACTCTCTGGCATGGATCCCACAGTCAATCCACATTGCTTTCTTATCCGGCCTGTTATTTAGAGACAACTGAGAAAGAGAGGGTGAACTTTAACCTTCATTCAGAGTTGGAGTGTATCAGCTAAAGTCTGAACACTTTTCAGCTAAATATAAGCTACATATAACGGAAAAAATAATGCTGAATCTTCGTCATTACTGCGGCTCATTAGGTGATGGATGAGTGTATCTTCTAGGGCTGCAAATAACAATTAATTTCATTATCGATGAGTCATTTTCTTGATTAATCAGTTGGTTGTTTGGTCCATAAAATGTCAGAAAATGGTGAAAAATGTTGATCAGTGTTTCCCAAAGCCCAAGCTAACGTCCTCAAATGTCTTTGTTTTGTCCACAACCCAAAGATATTCAGTTTACTGTGAGAGAGGACTAAAGAAACTAGAACATCTTCACATTTAAGAAGCTGAAATCCAATAATTTGGACATTTTTGCGCAAAAAATGACTCAATCCGATTAATCGATTATCAAAATAGTTGGTGATTAATCGACTAATCGTTGCAGCTCTTGTACCTTTAGAACGTAGAGTGGTCGCTTCTCGCTGGATGAGCCAATGAGGATGGTTTTGACCGTGCTGGGGTTGTCCTGTTGGGTCCTGTTTATCCAATCGTAGACCTACAAAGGAGAATGTAAACCGTAATATTGCCATTAAGTGCAGTACATGCAATCCAATAGTCCTGTATTAAATTTTTGTCAACCCGTCTGTAAACACCTTTCTGACACAATATCAACAACTGAATGTTATGACACTGGAATAAGATAAAGATGGAAAGCGTACATCCTCCAGACTGTGATATCTCTCGTAGAAAGTCGTGCTGCTTCGTGGGTCACCGGAGTCGTTCCTCGTCTGCATCTCAATCAACTCATTGGCGTTGGCCAGTAGCACCCTAAAGTAAACAGAAATCCCAAAACCTCCATACACATTGCATCAAATATGATTATAATGCTTTATGTGTGTTTCCAGAAAGGCAGCATACTCGTGTGTAATGGCATGGGTCTGTAGCAGATCCTTGACAGTCTCTGAGCTGTTTGCAGGAACAAACAGGTGGACCTGAGTTTCCTCTTTGATGAACTGAGGTGAGGCAGGCTGCCACAAGGCTGTCTGGGAGAAAACATGGCGCATAATGATTCAGGACAAAATCAGAGGAACACAATCACTGATGAAGAAAAATCTAATTTCTATACCTCGTATTGAGTGGACACATTCTTCAAGACGTCCACTTGTTCCTGTGTTTTCGGGGTGATTGATAGAACTTGGTCACTGAATGAAAAGAAAACGACATCAGTAAAATACAGGAATGCTGCAGACCCCTCTGGGCCAATCGTAAAGAGATATGTGAGTAATAATATAATAGTAATAGTGCAAATGTGAGGTGTATCATTTTTAGAAGTTATGTTAAAATTGTGTCAGTGTCAACAAGTCCATTGACCTATAGAGTTTACATCTGCGCTCAGGTACACCCAACATGTGTCTCATAACCTATTTACTTTGTTTGCCACATAACAAATATTTCATTAAGATCAACTTACTGTGTTTCTATACAGTGTCCTGTCTTCAGCAGTTTGTCCAAATTCATTAAGACAAACAAAATCCGAAGAGCTTTCATGATGTCAAGATCCAAACTGGAAATGACAGAGGTTTGTTAAAAACACGTGGGAAGAAGGACATTATTGATTAAAAAGTGTTTATTTAGAAGTTAAACATTACTTTTTTGGAAAGACGAGGGCATAGATCAGCCATAATGCCTGACAGGGAGCAGGTTAGTATACTGCTGGTGCTATATTTCCAGCAAAGTCAGCTAAAATAGTTCTATAATTAACACACGTCTGAATTCATGTGAGCTTTAGTGTGACTTTCAGCACAAGCCAGACAGCTCGGTGGAGTAACACCTCCCCGCCGGCAGGTGGCGCCAAATAAAAACAACTCCCAGCTGGGGAACAGAGGAGGAAACTTGAAAGCAGCTCGAAAGGTGATGTGTTGTTAAAATTTCTCTTGGCAAGATGTCGGGCCACGATCAGCTGGTTCTCTGTTTGTGTGAATTAACGAGGTAAGATATGTTTCAAACCAAGTGTTTTGTTTTTTAAAACGGATACAATGTTTGTAATCCATGTTCAACGGAAGTAGCGTGTTTCATTGTGTTGTACATTAGCTGCTGCTTGTAACAGAGCTACGACTCTAACATGTAACACTAGTTAAGGTTAGTTTATAGCTAGCTAACGTTAGGTTTATTAGCTGGTTGTGGTCTTTAGGTAAACACAACATTAATGTGTTTGTTTACAGTCACTACCTCTAACGTTACGATGAAGAACACGCTCTTTACTATATAACCCATTTATAGGCATCTGTCTGTCTGTATATTAAAGGCTGTATGTTGTGAGCTAATATTCCTTTAAACCTGAGTTTATGTCGACTTTATTTATTATTATTATTATTATTATTATTATTATTATTATTCCTGTAGTACTCCTCCAGCTAAAGGTTGGCCTTTAATCATTTTTAAATGCATGTCAGGGTCACATTTGTGATCAGTGAAGTGTTTGTCTTTGATTGTGACTCTTGAACAACCTCTCTGAAGTCTTGTATAAGCATCACTTTGTTTTCTTTGGATTTCTCTTTTATTTTGTGGGTTAATTCTACTTCCTTTTATACATTCTCTCCCTTTTGCCTGTACCTTTTCTGTAAAATCCCTCTGTCACTTTAGTGCCGTATAAAGATCATGTGTTTCCTGTAACAAACTGTGTCTGTGGGTTTCAGGCTGCTGTGGAAGTTGCTGCTTCCTCTGGTGGTTCTGTGCGTGCTGCTGATCGCTGTCCTGGTCCTGCTGGTGCTGGCGGTGCGTCTGTGGCTTCAGAGCAGCAGGAACGCTCGGCGGGCGAGGGACGGCCGCCCCACTGTGGCCTTCTTCCACCCCTACTGCAACGCTGGCGGTGGGGGAGAGAGGGTGCTCTGGTGTGCTATCAGGGCTCTGCAGAACAGGTGAAAGACTTTATATGACAGTATGTGGCTAGCTAGCTGCAAAATAAGCAGAATCAGAACATCAAAATGCATCCTGCTTATGCAAACTCTTTCTTAACTCAACCCACATCTGCACAGGTACATGGACATCAACTTTGTGGTGTACACTGGGGACCTGGGTGTGACGGGCCAGCAGATTCTGGATGGGGCGCGGCGTCGCTTCAACATCGTGCTCCCCCGGCCGGTTCAGTTTGTGTTCCTGAGGCACCGGCTGCTCGTGGAGCCCGGCCTGTTTCCTCACTTCACCCTGCTGGGACAGAGTGTGGGCTCCATCTTCCTGGGATGGGAGGCGCTGACCGAGTTCGTCCCAGACCTTTACATCGACTCCATGGGCTACGCCTTCACTCTGCCCCTGTTCCGCTACTTGGGAGGCTGCAGCGTGGGGAGTTACGTCCACTACCCCACCATCAGCACTGACATGCTGTCTGTGGTGAGAGAGAGGAACCCCAGGTAATCACTGCGTGTCTTTACCAAAGAAAATAGTCTCATATGGCTGAGAATTATGTTGCAGTTTTCTTTATATAGTCTTATCATAAGCATTTCTCAAAATACTACATTCAATTAGAAACTATTCCCTGCATGAACCAACAGAAGACAACCGAAAAGGTGACCAGAAGTAACTGTAGCACTGTAGTTCTTTCTAAGGGTGTGTACTGAATGTCAAGCTCTGTCTTCCCCGGGAGGCTGTAGGGAATACGGGACTTTCTTGCTCCTCCATTTTAGAAGTTGAATGACTGGTCATAGAATCCATAACTAAAACCTGCTGCTTTCTAACCCCTCGGATAACCCTGACTGTTAATGTCCCAGGTTCAACAACCCAGACTACGTCTCCAACAGTCTGTTCCTGAGTGCCTTCAAGGTGGTCTACTACTGCCTGTTCGCCCTGCTCTACGGCATGGCCGGCTCCTGCAGCGACCTCATCATGGTCAACTCCTCCTGGACCCTCGATCACATCCTGTCACTGTGGCGCGCCCCGAACCGCACCAGCGTGGTCTACCCGCCCTGCGACGTCGGCGCGTTCCTGGACGTCCCGCTGGAGGAGGACGGGGACAGGAAGTGCCACTCAATCGTTTCCATCGGGCAGTTCAGGCCGGAGAAGGACCACCGGCTGCAGATCAGAGCTTTTAAGAAGGTGTTAGACAGGAGGAGGGAGGGCGCGGGGGGCCGGGAGGCGCTGAAGCTGGTCCTGATCGGCGGATGCAGGAACCAGCAGGACGAAGATAGGGTGCTCATGTTGAGGGGGCTGTGCCAGGAGCTGGGTGTGGCCGACAGGGTGGAGTTTAAACTGAATATACCCTTCGAGGAGCTGAAGAGAGAGATGGGGGAAGCCACCATCGGACTGCATACCATGTGGAACGAACACTTCGGAATAGGTAATTTATCTCTCTGAAGTCAGGTTTAGACTTTTAGACTTTTCTGATGGTGTTAAAAGTGCATCTTCACTCCTCTTTCCTCCCTCTAGGTATTGTGGAGTGTATGGCGGCAGGGAAGGTCATTCTGGCGCATAAATCCGGCGGCCCCAAGCTTGACATCGTGGTCCCTTTCGAGGGAGGCCAGACAGGTTTCCTGGCTGACGACGAGGACAGTTACGCGGAGGCCATAGACAGGATCCTGGCGCTGCCGCCCGCCAGCCGGCTGCAGATCAGACGCAACGCACGTCAGTCGGTGGCTCGCTTCTCAGATCAGGAGTTTGAAGCCTGCTTCATCGCCGCCATGGAGCCTCTGATGGGAACGCTTGAACGATGAGAAAAGAGACTCATTCTTTGTGTGTGTGTGTGTGTGTGTGTGTAGGTTACGTGGCTATTTTACACTTTGAGCACCTTTACTTTGTTGCACTTAGGGCTGCGTTTACACTGTAGATCTGGTCACTAAATGGGATCATTTCTGATGCAGTAACATCACTCACATGCTCACACAGAGCTGCTGAGATTGTGAATTTAGTTGGGAGCTCGCCACTCAAGGTGGAGTGGACTTGGATTTGCCCTGAAAGCAGAAAAGAGACATTGGAAACTATCTGCATTACTTTTACTGAATGGCCAAATTTCACTTTCGTGTTTTTAAGGGGAAATCAGGTACTTTACCTTGTAGTAGTGGATCCAGCTGCAGGAACGTGTGTAGTTCTCTTCAACTTGTATTTGTCAAATACTAGATTACCCTGTGAGATGACATTTGAAGCTCTTTTTTTTTACAGGACACATTCCTTTGTCAGTAGTGTCAGTTTAATTAATTAAAAAGAGATGTACTGTATGTAATACGGTGGTAACAGGACTCAAGATATTAAACAGAAACATATTTATTGTTTACAAAAACTAGAATTCTCTTCATGCACCAAATGTGAAGTATTTTTGATATTGATGCTGAATGTAATAAACACATGATGAGAGAGTTAATGTTGCGTTGAGAAATTGCTGTACTGCTAAATAAACTCTATTAGAGGAAGTTACACCCAACAACTGTTTGATTTGGCCGACAGTAGCAGAGGATTGCTGATGTTGAAATGAGCTGCAGCAGATAGAGTCCAGAGGAAGGAGACCAAAAAGAGCTTCACAGAGCCGGGACAAAGACCAACACCGCTTCATGGAAAAAAACGATTTGTCATACTTCATGGAAGTCCGTTTGTTGTCGTTATCTGCTCATTTTAAACAGGATTATTTGCAGACAGCGGTAGAGGGAACAGTTACAATTTACCTCTCATTCACCCATTCACACACCGATGGCAGAGAGCTACCAATGCAATTTGGGATTCAGTGGCCAGGATTGAGCTCCAGACTACTTGTGATGTCACAAATCATGCTCGTAGGCCCCGCCCCTTAAAATCTGATTTTCAGTAAACTCAGAGAAACTTTCTGCTCTCAGCAGATGAATGTGGAAACATCCTTCTAGTGTCAAACTCTGCACAAACATCATTCAAACAGCACACTGTAGGAACGAGCAGGGAACTGATTTCTGAGTGGAGGGGGGGCTTTAATAATAGAAAAGATTAGCATTAAAATTTGACTCTACGTGTTCATAAAAATTCTAACAACCAAATCTGGTCTAAGAATGGCAGTTAGAAATGACAGATAATTTATGCTTTAGCTCCATTAACAGATGTGTTACCAGAATCTATTTGGGTCTCTCATCAACTCAGACTGATAGAGAAATGCTGTCTGACCAACAAAACCCAACTCAAACTATAGAAGAAGAAAAGCAGCAAATATTCACATTTGAGCTGAAACCAGTGAGTGCTTGGTATTTTTTGTTTAAAAGCAACATAAAAGATAAACTGACTATCAAAATTACTGCAGATTTAGTTTGTGTGAGTTGACTAATTGTCATTTTAAACACTAATGATGATAATACATCGGCCAAAACATTGGCTTTATAGTAACTCAGTGTTAAGTGATAAGACTTCTGATGTATAAAAAAGTGGAAAATCTGAAATTAATTTTTATTTTCTGTGCACACTGTATTTATATTGATTTAAACTAATCAAAATCACTTATGTAAAGCCCTAATGTGTCTTAAGAAGCAGCTACATTAATTGAATTTAACTCATGAACAACAGTCAGATTTAAGATCTTGTCTGAATCTGATCGTGTGCACATTTAATTCAGCACATCAGCCTGGGATCAATAGAGCTGGACAAAGGTTAACAGCTATTGCGTGAAGGAAACAAGGCAGACAGCCGGGGGAGGGGTTTTTAGAGGTTATGGAGGGTAAGAGGCGGCGCATAGGGGTATCAGGACAAAAGCTGAACATATTTATAGGGAGGTAAACGAAGGAGTGAGGTACTTTGGTTTGGTGCTAGTCAAGATGAAGTCCTACATGCTTCTCTTGGCCCTGCTGCAGTCTCTGGGATGCTCAGGTAAGTGGTTCTCTGCACTAAGGAGACACAGTAAGTGTAGTCGCTGACTCTTTGTACATCTCTGTCCTCTGACCTTACAGGAATCCCGCTGTACAACTCTGAGCTGGAGTCCCTGGCAGACAGGGGTCTTGGAGCATCGCTGGCAGAGGTCAACTCTGTGTACGCCGTCAGCCTTCTTTACCGGGTGACTCGAGGCTCTGTCACAAGGGTGAGTCTGCACATTAGGATATAATAACGTGCTGGTGTTTTATGTTTGTGGAGTAATAGCTGCAGTGTAGCAGTAGAACAGGGTGTGTGGTATTTGTGGGATTCTGACAAACATTCACATGTATGACAGGTTATTCCAATGGGCCTGAACACCGTTGACCTGCTGATGACATTTGGCATTAAAGAGACGCAGTGTGCAAAGTCTTCCGGGAGCGACCCCCTGACATGCGCCTTCAGACCTGGTTTCTTTGTGGTGAGAAACTTAAAGCCCCCCTCCCTCAAAAATCAGTATTTCTCTCTTTGAATGATGTATGTGCAGAGTTTGACAGGAGAAGGAGGATTTCACATTCATCTGCTGAAAGTGGAAAGTTTCTCTGTGCTCATTGAAAATCAGATTTTAAGGGGCGGGGCCTACGAGCATGATTTGTGACATCACAATCCTGGTCCAGTACGTAACTACAAGTGATGAATTTTTAATGAGGTACAAGGAGTAGATGCCTTTATAAGGATTCTAATGTTGAAATTATAATTTTTGACTATTTGTATACACGTCTTAACACATCTGGAGATCTTTAATGTTGCCAGAGGTTAAAAATAACCTGAATTACATCTTATTATGGTTTTATTCTGTTTAGTTTTATGCTACAGGGTTGTTGTATAACGCAGAATACAACAAAAAGTAAAACCCTTAGAGAACACTGTGCTCATTTAAAGTATCTGTATTCAGTTGCTTGGAGACAGTGAAGGCCTGATATCTCAGTTCTGGGTAGGACACATGTTGACACACTGATGCAGCCCACTGTTTGCATTGGCACAGATTTACTGGAACAGTGTGTGTGTTGATCAAATCTGCCATGATGCATCAGGGACAGTGATCCTAATAAGACTAACAAATACTGAGAGATATTTGCATTATACAGACTATTAAAAACACCATCCTTTTCTCGTTTGGCCTCCGTCACCTCAGCCATCCTTCGCCTGCTTCAGTCGGGTCCGAATGTCGGCCACCTCGACCCAGTTGGTTTCTCTCAGATGCGGCAACGACGGGAGCTCCAGCTCAGAGTCCAGTGAGGAGGTGAGGACGCTGAGGGGAGGGATGATGGGGGAGAATAGCAGTACTGTCAGTTTCTTTCTAATTTCCCAAGCTATTTTTCCATTTTAAGTGACAGCTAATTATATTGGCTTCAAAAAGGGAAAAATTATATCAGGCTTTCCTATCAACCTAAACAACAATATAATGGGATACATAGTGCATGTGAATAATGTCAAAGCTTTGATTCCACAGATGTTCTCAAGAGGGAGACACCAGTTCCATATCCCGACTTTAAACAGAGGTAAACACGTTTTAACTTGTGATGGTCGAGTGCAATCCGTAACTGAAGGTTTTAACTGAAATAAAATTGTGTCTCAATCATTATTAAATGTATTTTTATTTAAAAAGAATAAAGATGATACTGAAGGTTTTCGAATATCCATAGGGCCTGCCCTCAGTATTTCAGTATGCATTCACCAGAGTGACATTCAGTGCATGTTAACTGACCAGAGCCCCACCATCTTCCAACAGTCCCAGCTCCTCCTGCAACTTCCCCACCCGTCCAGAATGATCGCTCCCTCCACAGTCAGACAGTGGAGGTCCGGCCCAGAGGGGACACTTTCAACAACTACCTGGTGTGAAAGTTCAGCTCATCAGACGACACCATTAAAAAAAACTAATTTGCACATGGTTTTTGTCTTTTTGTCCCTTTTTTTTTTTAAATGATATCTTATTGGTTAGATTTACAGCCAATCAGTGAACCTCATGAGGAGACACTTTCTACCCAGTTCAGGGTTCAATCCCCATCATTTAAATGATCCTATTCGTCCTGAATGCAATGTTACTTTAAGCAGTAGTAGTAAGGGATAAGACCACTAGAGGGAGTGAGAGGTTCACCAACAAAACAAACACTGTAACCATTTTAATCATGTGTACTGACTGATGCATTGCATTAAATAAAGATCTTCCCAGCAACACATGCCCCACATTACTTCAACAAAAGAGGACTCTGAGACAGATTGACGTCTGGTTTGAACATTTATATTGTGATTTTCAGTTTAAATGCAAGAGGACACGTTTACTCTATCTGCAACCATTTTTCTTCATTTCACTCGGCCCCACATGTTCACATCAGCACATCAATAACTTACATACTGTACTGTAGCAAACATCCTGTCGAGGACAATGATATTCAGTTATAAGAAATGGCACGCTGCCTTCAAGTGGCAATCAAAACCGCTGCAGCTGAGTGGGATGTTAAAACAGGGCTATACCATCTTCAGGATTAGCTCTCTGAAACCATTTATGCCGCACACACTTAAACACTGCAATTTAAAACCAGTTTGAAATGGTCTGAAATATGTATGATATGTCATCCTGGCACACGCGGACAAGATGAGATTGAGTTCCTTGAAGGACAGTGCTAGCACCCTAAAAACAAAAGGCATTGCTGCTGGAAATTAAAACCCTTCATGACCCCCCCGGTAGGTACAAAAATCAAGAGAAAGGGTTGAAGCAGTAATGGCACCATGAAAGAAACCAGATAGACACACAAAGCAACATTCAGTCTAATGCCAGTCAGATGATTTCTGTTATTGACTACATGATTTAATGGTCTGTACATTAACCGGGCACATTTTTCGACCAGGTCACCTTGTGTGGATAAGATGAGCACACTCCACACGAGACCGAGTCTAATCTGTACATTCTACTTCCTGATTTGTGACAACCGTGTGACTTGAGAAGGCGGCGAAGGGTAACCGAGTAGCAGCTGCAAACTGTACAGACACAAACTGAAGGATAAGGTCCAAAATCAAGCAGGGAACTCGCACAGTCCACGAAGATACACCATCACAGGCCTCCCTCTCCATTTTACAGTCCATTAAATAAAAAACAATGTTTTTTTTTTTTTTTTCCAGTTGCACAGTCCAGACTCTGCTGAACCTTTGGAAGAAATCTCCTTTCTGCTTTGACCTCTATGCAAGACTTTGGGAATAAGGCTTCCTTCTAGTGGTGAAACAGTCTAGAAATGTTTGAGACTTTTTGAGTGTACTTTTATTACTGAATCACTGCCTTCATGTGTGTAATTCATAATGTTTTCAAATATTCCCATATACATTCCATTGTGCCCTAATGTTTTGTTCCTCTCTAGACTTTGTTGACCAGCTATTAAAAGACAGACTTACAAAAAAAAAAAATCCTTCCATTTATCGATCATTAAATAATTTTATATAAAAGCAAACCTAACCATCCCCGCTCCGCGAAGGCCTTCCCTAACGGTTAACTACTTCACCACCTTATTTTCGTACATACATGCATGTGCACAATGCATGTATGCATATTCAGTTTCTCTCTCTCGCTCATGCGCACACACCAGAACAGATGTTTTACAGCTTGTTCTCACATGAGATCCATGCAGTACCAAAGCAGAAAGATCCTGATGTGGTGTGGTGTTTTTTTGTTTCGTTTTTTTGTCTCCAGTACGTGGCACAAACTTATGGCAGAGAAGCGGATACATGGTTCGGCTCAGACCTGGATCCAGTAATATTTGCACGATTCTTATTAGTGTTTCTTTCAATCTGCTTGGCGTACCAGACGGGTGGGGTTTACCATACAGGGCGACACGATATCTTCCAGAGAGTTTAGACAATCGCAGAATCTTCTCTGTGATCTCAAACTTACCTGCTCCAGTCTTCATTGTCCCAATATTGTAAACCCCACAGATCCAGGATACCAAGCATGTTAAAAAAAAATGCTATAATTAGCAAACACTAATTGATCATGGTCTGGTTTGGGTTTCAGTATTTACACAGTCATCCATTTATCATTGTGATCCCAAGAGGATAGAAGGAATTCAGGACTTCCCCATTTCACTAATGAATGTTCACTTCCATAAATTCTCTCATTGTCTATTCATCCGTATTGTGTCCTGATCTCCAAGTTCAACACTCTCCGGTAAGTTTGGTGCCGTCCCCCCGTTTGGGCGGTGCAGGCGGGGGTCCTCGTCGCAGCGTTGCATAGCCTGAGATGTTTCCGGACATGTAGCCGCCGTTTCCTCCGTTGCTTTGCTTTCCTTGGTCCAGGAGCAGCTCAGGGGGCGGCGGAGGCAGCGCCATGTCGTCCATAGTTCCCACAGGGTCCAACTTGCCCGTGAGGCCGGCCGAGTTGAGAGAACCTTGGCGACCCACTGACTTTCGCTTCAGTGTCCGGTTGAGATCCTCCAGGAAATTGGGCTGGCCTGAGCTGCCCTTTGGGGAGGTGGGTGGAGGCGGTGACAGCGGAGGGGGTTCTGGGGTGTTGTTACTACGCCGCCCGAGTGTGGGTGGAGGAGTCTTTTTCAGAGAGCTCTTCCCCCATGATGAGTTGCTGACGAGGGATAAAGGCGGAGGAGGAGGGGGTGCCTGGGGCTGAGGGTTGACCACGGCTACCCTGGGCGGTCCTCCACTATTGGCGTCACTACCGGGAGGTGGAGGAGGAGGGAAGAGCTCAGAGGCCGGGGGAGGAGGTGGGAAGTAGGCGCACTCAGGTGGTGGGGATGGGAAGTCGCCACTGGATTGCTTTACCTGGCTCACTTTAGCCTGGAGTGCCAAGGGCAGGTTGGCCAGGTTGAGCTTGCCTGGTTTCGGGGGAGCAGGGGGTCCAGTTGAGGGGTCTTTGGAAGGGGATCCAGTGGAAGAGGAGGTGGGACACGCGGAGGAAGGAGAGGTGTTCTGGGGAGCGAACTTGCTAAGCAAGTTCTTCCTGGATTCCTCATAGGAAGCGTTGAACTTGATGCTGGAGTTCCTCTGCGGGGTGGGAGGAGGTTTCTTGCCTACAAAAGAGCCAGAGGGTGACCTCCTCGTTGGGGAGCCCAGGTTTCCAGGAGGGAGGGGAGGGGGAGGTGGAGTCGGGCCTGTTACAGGGGCTGGGGGAGGTGGAGGAGGTGGTGGAGGTGGCGGAGGGGCAGGGAAGCCAGCGTTGTTGTCTGGAGGAGGAGGAGGGAACTCTGGAGACTGCAGCTGTTGGCCTCCCCCAGGCTGCCATTTTGGTTTGGTCTTGACTGCAGGTGGAGACAGGGGGGCTTTGGGACTCTCTGTGTGATAGGCTGCTTGGGATGAAGCTCCTGGAAACTGACTTGCCAGCTGTTTCACCAAAGACATTGTCGGAGGGCCTCCTGAGGGCGTTTGCTTAGACAGGCTGTGCTGCTTGGGCAGAGTCGGAGGGGGATGGCTGGAGGTGTGGCCCGCCTGGAGGCTGAACTGCTTCTTGAGGGGCGCAGGTGGAGGAGGGGGTGGAGGTGGTGGCGGGTTCGAGCCACCTAAGGTAGCAGGAGGTGGCGCAGGAGGGAACGGGGAGACAGGTGACGTGGGTTTGGGCGCGGTATGAGGGACAAAGCCTGGGGTGAAGGTCTTGGGTGGCGCTGGTGGCGGCGCAGGAGGAGGTGGGAACTGGGATGGCACTGGGAACTGCTGGGGAGGAGGAGGAGGTGGTGGTGGAGGTGGAGGTGGAGGGGGTGGGGGTGGTGGAGCCGGGGCAGGTGGCGGGGACTCTTCAAGGCCTCCATTTGGACAGAGGAGGTCGCGTGGCGGGCTGGGAAACCTTTCCTTCAGCACCTGCTTCAGCCCGTTGGGGTAAATGGGCTGACTCAAGCTCATGGGAGCCAGTGCAGCAGGGTGTGGCGGGGGAGGAGGGGGGAGGAAATGTTACTCCATTGGTGTGTGGAGCACATAGAGGTGCTGGGGGAGGAGGAATGAAGGAGGGCGGGGCAGCGGGGCTGGGAGGGCCCAGCTTCAACACAGCCATGGCTGACCCAGGGGTTGGCATGGATGGTGGAGGGGGAGGAGGAGGGGGAGGCGGGACATTAGTCCTTGCAGCAATGTGATTGACATTGGGTTTGGCCTGAGCTGGAGGCGGTGTTGGAACTGGGGGCAAAACTTGCTGAGCTGTCGCATGGAGGTGAATGGGCAGCTTGTGGTGATTGGCAGCCTGGGAGGCCTTCTGGTTCTGCAGCCTGGTGATCGTGCTGTACTTGTACATGGTGGGAGCCGGCGAGTGGTGCGACACCATCTGAACTGGGGGTGGGGGGGGAGGGGGAGGCGGCGGCGGCGGCGGAGGAGGCGGGGGTGGAGCAGCAACCTGTTGCTGCGGTGGGGGGATGTGGTTGTAGTTGCCGATGGTCTGCGGCAGTTGCTGCTGTTGAGGGGACTGTGGCGTTTGCGGAGGGCGCTGAGGCAACTGGAGTGGTGGTGGTGGGGCCTGTTGAGGAGACTGAGGCTGGGGAGGCAGGTGATGGTGTTGCAGCTGGGTCGGTGTCTGGGGGTGCATTGATGGGTGCTGGGTTGGTGTCTGGGGATGCATTGATGGGTGCTGGGTTGGTGGCTGGGGATGCATTGATGGGTGCTGGGTCGGTGTCTGGGGGTGCATTGATGGGTGCTGAGGCTGCGGTGGATGCTGGGGCTGATGCTGGGGCTGATGCTGGGGCTGGGGCTGGGGCTGGGGCTGGGGCTGGGGCTGCGGAGGCAGCTGCGGCTGATGCTGCGGAGGCAGCTGCGGCTGATGCTGAGGGTGTGGCTGATGCTGCGGAGGCAACTGCAGGGGTGGCTGCGGCTGATGCTGCGGAGGCGGCTGCGGCTGATGCTGCGGAGGCGGCGTCAGGGCAGGATGATCCACTGAATGCTGGCTGTGATGCCGGTGACTGTGGGAAGCATGCGGCAGCGTGGCCCCTCTGGATGCCTCCATTCTCATCTGCTAACACGAGACAAGTAAATTATATATTCATTAACAAATTTATTTTTTTTTTAAATCCACATAACAAGCCCTGTTTTATCTGAAAGAAAGCCATACCTTGGTGCTCTCCTCGATCTGGGTACCTCTCTTCCAGGCCTCAGAAAAAATGGAGCTCACCACACTCTGGGACCGGCCATGAGAAGAGCCTGTGTCCACCCCACTGTCTGAATGGCCTGAATGATTAGACTGGGACTCTAGAAACGCACACAAATGACAGTAAGACTTTGTAAGAGAAGTGTAAATTCAGTACAATTAAAGTATTATGTTTGCTAAGTATTAAAAAATGATTAAAGCATAAAAGTTCTACATTTCACAAAGGGCTTGGTAAAGACCCCATTATTAGACCTGGAATTGTGAAAACTGGACTCTACTTCAAACACATATCCTATAGCAGTAAAGTTTCCAAGAGAAAATTACCCTGGTGATGTCATGGTGATCATAGTGATTATCTTAGTTTGGGTTTGAAGACTACAAATTGGAGCCCGCATTTCAAACTTGGACAATTCAAAGATGCTACCGATTTGCATTCAGGGAAATGTATGACCTAATGTTTTTGGAACTTGATCCATACTAATAACTTTTTTAATGACCTTCTCAAAAGCCTCCCAACTTACTGGGATCATATCCCTTTTTTTAAATGTTTAAATGTCAGTGATCTAGATGGCCTATTTGAAATCTATTATTCTGATGCTGGGCCTGTTTAGATAATGAACTCACCAGGTATGCTGGCAGAACTGGAGCCTGATCGGATGCTGGAGGTCGAGAGAGACGACCAATCGTAAGCCGCCTCAGTCCTCTTCATGGCCTCCTGGTAGTTCACATATAGCTGCTTCCCATACTATACACACAGACAAAGTGGAAAACCACAATAACAAAGGATTAATTAACATAGTTTCCCTTAGTAGTGTTACTATTTTTTGGTTGTTTTGCAGACTTTATCAAACCAGGTTTAGACGCACCTTGGCGATGCGAATTCCGTTCACCCATTGGTGCAGAGTCCTGACATCATCACAGCAGAGATACTTGATGTACTGCGACTTCTTCTGGATTTGTGGATGCTGCAAAAAAAAGGAGTAAATATGTATTTTGCCATCCACCAATGCCTCACATATCCACTGAAGAATGACAAAATGTTTCTTCATTATGAAAGAATGACATACTCTGGCCATTGATTAGACAGTTTTCACATAATATACAGAGTGAAAACAATTTATCCACTTATTAAATAGCAGTCAAATCAAATTAAACAGTGTGAACAGTTTGGAAGCATTTTGCGGAGTGCTTTAATAAAAACACTTCTAATGGAAGACTAATTGCAGTAAATGCATTGGGGATGCTTGTGTGCGAGAGAAGCTCGAATACATCTCTAGGGACCATCAGAATAATTTCACATGTTCACACCTCTATTTTAAATCTATACACAGGGCGAGAAATTCACTCTCTGTCAGTGTCTGTGTTAACACATGTGTTGCTGTGAATACATTTGCATAAGATTTGATCAGAACATGTGTCAGACTGTCTCCACGCGGTGGAAGATAGAAGGGAGAGGGCTTCACCTTCAGGGCCAGGCAGTAGTCAGTGGGAGCCTTGTATTTGCTGCGGTAGTCCTGGCCGTAGTACACGTTAACATGGTCCAACTGGAGGAAGCACACCAGATCTCTAGATGCCTGCAGAGAGGGAGGCAAGAGGAGGATGGATTGACTTTAAAAAGCAGTATTCAGGGTGGAGTTTCTGCGCTGTCCATGATGCTAGAATAACTTGAGGCACTGAGACTTTCCTACAGGTACATGTAACATTTTGGTAACAGTTTGGACCGACTAGATGTATAAATATATGCATGGAAAAAGTCGAAATTGCATATTAATGATATTAAGTATTTTTGGGGCACATGCTGTTTTTGTGCTTGAGTGAAGTTGCTCTAAACAAGCTTTAAATAATTATGCTGAGTCTCACTGTAGTCCAAGTCTTGTATGTATGTTTTAAGGGTGATTACACAGATCTAAATTAAATACACAATGCTTTATTCAATGCCTGAGCTGGTACTGTATTATTGTATTATTGTCAACCTACTTTTCGGCTCACACAAAATTTAAATAAGGCATCAAAATGATACAGTGTTGGGAAGGCAGCTACTGAATGCTGATGTTGTGTCACAGAAGACACAGTGCAAAGAGCGTTGGAGGATGATAGTGCTAAAAATAGAGCACATGTGCGCACAAAAAAAAAAAGGGGAAAAAAAGAAAAAAAAAAGCATGTGCTGTATCTGTTGTGTTCAAAGTGATCCGGCACTAAACAGGAAATGCCACAGAGCAGACTGTGTGAATCTGGTTCTCATAACCCCAACCCACATTTCTGTTCCCCGTCTTCATTTTTGCCTGAGTAGCGTGACTGCGTGCCTAAAGCAAACCAACCAATCTCAAGTCTCACTGACCTTGGCTTTCCCTTTGGGGACGTAGTAGATCCCTGAAGCTCTGAGGAGGAAGTAGCGCTTCTTCCACGACTTCTTCCCATCCTCCTTCAGCCACAGGACACCCTCGATCTCTGGCACCGACACCGAGCCACCACAGAAACACTCCTGATGGATACACACACGCACATACATCGATGTCCAAGTTTATCTTGTGAGTCCTGATCCGTAGTAGTCGTGAGTCAGTTTTTTATCATATTAAGACAACCTCATCATTTTAGTCAAACTTGTTCACATAAATAAGAGTTTATCTTTTCATCTGATGAAAAAAACCTAATTGAAGAGCTACCTAGAGCTGTAACCATTAGTCAATTGATCAAATGATTTTATCAACCAAAAAAACTCAGTAAATCAGTTAATTGAGCAAATGATCGACAGATTAATTGCTAATGAAAATAATCCTTGGTTGCAGGCCTAGTCCTGACTGTGTTCATTGTGTGCTCCCGGTGCAGTCCCATATTTTTCTGTTGTCAAACTACATTTCAGTCTCGTCTTTTTTGGTCAACAATACTGCATGTTGTTATAGTGTTTAATGACGTCAGTGCCGTCTCGTCCTGGTTTCGTCTTAGTCGTGGGGAAAAAAAAGGTTGTTGACCAACAGATTTAGTCGAAATTCCCACTAATGATAGGTAGGAATGATAGGAGTCAGTCAGTAGTTTGTGGTTGTACGTAATCTCACCTCTAATAAAGCTTCTTTATTCCTGTCAGCCATTTCGGATGTCTCCTTCCGCCCCAACAAGTAGTTCTGGAGACGATTGAGAGGAACAGTGAAGTTAACGGAGGATGGAGAGAAGCAGAAGAGCAAAGTGTAAAGTCGCCGGCTCACCTCGTTTTATGTTAAATAAATTATTCACCTTTACTCGCTTTAGAGCTTTGACCTACTTCCAACTCTCCTACACCAACACTCTCCCTTGTTCGCTCTCTGGGCTGTGCAGCCACTGAGCATGCATAAACAATGTGTTTGTGTGTATAGCATATGCTTTCAGCATTTACACGCTGAATGCAGAGAGGCTACAGAGGGTATTGAGAAGATGATGATCTGTCCTCAGCCCTAATGCACGTGTGGGTTGAAGTGGAAACGAACAGTCACCTGAGGATTCTTGAAAAGAGCGTATTTCTCGATGCGTTCGATGAACATAAGCTTGTTGTGGCTGTCCCGGGTCCAGTTTAATAGGTTTTCCACCAAGTTCTCATGATCCTCAAAAATACGCTCTAAGAGAGAGAGCCGAGAGAGAGAGAGAGAAAGGGAGAGAAGAGGGAGTAATGAAGATAAGATGCAAAATAGGCAGTTTTTCTTTGCTGACCTGCAAATGTGCACTTAATTTCCTCCCTCCAGGGATTTCTGTTTTTTTTTGGGTGTGGCAGAACCTTTAACTGTAAGCCTGACAATTAGCCTGAAGTCACAAACAGTGACTATTCTTAGACCACAGATAATTATAATACAGGATATGTTTGTCACCTAAATCGTTTACATTGCCCCCCCAGCTCTGTGCATTCCGCCCCCATCCATGTGCCACCAGCGCAGATTAAAGCAAGCTATAAACAGTGTTTATTTGACTCAGGTGCGGTGGAAACTGTCTGCGCGCTCACCCATCTGTAGCTCATTGATGGTTTCCACTAGAGACCAGTCCGGGCTGTAACCACAGTGCGACTTATCCAGCAGGCTGTCTAGCACCTGCCTGACTGTCTGCCGCTCGTCCACCATCATGGTCTTGGAGCTCTCGTCCGACATGTGGACCCTGATCACCAGCTGAGAAAGAGGAGAAGAAAGGAGAGTTTATTTGAAGATCAGCTTGTTGTTTAAGCTAATGCTAAAAGTTAGAGAATATAATCCATATGTATGCACTTAAGTATAAATTATTATGTTAAATGATTTAAGCAAATGTCAACATTTTAAGCACGTGAGGCATGTTTCAAAAACGTCAACCTATTTATGGGGTTGCTACCGTCACAATGCCGCATATACACTGAAAATCCAATAATCTGGCCAAAGTATTTCATCCATAGGCAACCAAAAGACCCCCATAACAAGCTAGCTTAAACTAATCTGGATGAGACAAACGCACACATGCCAAATCCAGCCTTGCACAATCGCATCCCACACAAGACTTGTCCTGGTGTGAAACCAAATAAAGCCCTCAATTCCTTGACCTCCTGTTTTCCCCCCCTCACTGGGACCCTGACAGCCAATCAGTGAGTGGGTACAGTTGATTGAACAGAGACTTTGACCAATGAGAAAGCTGGGGGAGCTGTGAGACTAAGACATGGGGAGTCTGACCTACATTTCTCTGAGGAGAGACCCCTAAAACCCCCTAGTCTGGCAGAAAAACCCCTCCAACAAAAACAAGTTAAATCAAACCAAATACCCCACTGCTTCAAGAGATAAGTTTCTAAACCTTTCCACCAAATGCAATCAAACTGCCTCAATGTCATGAATGCAAGATAGTGTCCATGTAGACTGCTGACAATGACGGCACTCATAATTTAGCACATCGCAGCGTTCTGCTACGCCGGCCGAGATTTTATGTTCCGGTTGTACCAGCACTCTTTATCTCCTCATATTGTATTCACTTGGCAGAGTGAAGTCCAGCCCTGTCTGTTGAAACACTATTGGCTCTCAACTATTCATTGCATGTAAGAAAGGCCACCATTCTGTTGCTCTCATTCACAGAGACAGTTTATTCACTGGCTGAAAACACTGGTAAAAAATGGCCTGCCTGTAGAGTCCCACGCCGACTTCCCAATGGAGACAAGCACACGCCATGGCTTTCAATGGAGCACGGAGCATGGAGCACCAGTTGTCCACCGAAAAATCAGCACTGGTTGGAGTCGGATGGGGTAAATGAGATGTTTCGTGTAGAACATGTCTGCATTGTCTCGCAGCGCTCGTTTTCTGAAGCCTCTTTTCTGATTTCCTTGCTCCCTCCCCAGCAGATACACACATAATCAAACACTGCAATGACCTATTTTCTCAGCGCTTTGCAGCCTCGCTGTGAATGAAGTTCACAAAGAAATGCAGTGCGTGGTGAATGTGACGAGACAGCGATTATTACGTGAGTCAGAATGGTCTTTTAGAAAGGAAATGGAGACAGTGAGTGAGATGTGTGTACACAGGAAAGAGGTAGTCCTTACCTTTTTGACCTGTGCCTCCTTGATTTTCTCCAGGGCGACTCGGATCTTCTCTGCCTTCAATTTGGCAGCTTGCTCCTCCTAGATGAGCACACAGGAGCATGGTTATCATTCACACAATAACAGAACCACACACACAAGAAAAACCTAAAGGGGTTTTTGATTTCAGAGCCTTGCCTCATTCTTTTCACCCGTGTCTTTCATTATTCTCTGGCAGGAATAAGACATCATGCACACACACACACACACACACAAGTTCATTAAATAGTAAGCAGCCTTCTAAACCATTTAAACGCACAAGCCTCTGACATGGTGGCGCATGGTGTCGTGCAAAAACCGAATCCTATTTTTCCATGCTTTTATGTTGCCTACCTGCCCCCTCCAACAAGACGCCATCACCTCCATTCTGCAGGTTGTGTACGCGTCCACGTGCGCAAGTGGGTGTGTTTTATCACTTGTGTGTGAATATGCGATCAGAGACAAATAAGCACCGAGATGCTCAACCCCGGCTATTGTGACATCGACCCGGTGTACCCTCAAATATGGCGCTCCATTTGCCGTCTATGGTTCCATATTGGATTCGTATGGAGCTGCAGCCGTTTTTTTTCCCCTTTGATCTCGCTATACAGCAGAGGGGGAAACAATAGTAGAAGATCCCCAAAGGGCGAGAGGCTGCGGATGAGTGTGGGATCAGATCAGAAAAGCCTCTGTGCCCTCCAACTCAAAGATACAAGGATCTCCTGCAAAGATCATCGAGGGCAAAAATGAAATAAATATCCAGGTTCGTCCATAATGGATGAATCAAAAAAAGGCAAACACAGTGCCTCTTTGAGTTGTCTTTACATTGCCAGAAGAAGAAACAAAAATGTTTGTCCGCTTGCCACCCTTCACAGCAAGCTACCGGCGTATAAAAAGTTATTCCCTCAGTGGGTGAAATTTAGCCGAGCATCCACATCCTCCGGCGGTCAGACGACAGCGGATAAGCTACCCGAAATCTTGTGACAGCGCAGGTTCACTGACAAGCAGACATGTGCGCCCGAGACGAGCACAACTTGACTAAAACCCTAAGTGAGACAGTGGGGATGCCCCTCCCCCCTCTACCCTACCACCCTCTCTTCCTGCTCCCCCCCCCTCCTTCTCCATCACCCTTTTCCTCTCCTCCTCCTCTCTCTCTTTATATATCAGATGCAGGGGTTTGGGAGCGTGCCCAATCGATGGGAGTATAATCCCCACAAAAATAGTAGAATGAGGGGTCCGCCAACCAGCGAGCCCCCACTACAAGACCCTCTTCCCTTTAGCCAATCAGGACGATTGAGGGGGGAGCGTGACCGACGCCTCCGGAGCTAAACTACAGTGACAACGACGGAGAGTGGAATTTGGGTGAATGAGAGGCTGAGGTGCTGAATATTGGAAGTCGTGTGTGTCTACACGGGCATGTGCGTTTAAAGAGAGGGGGCTGAGGGGTTTTAACAACCGCTACCCAAGCCTCTTATCTCAAGAACCGACCCCCCCCCCACCTCTTCTCCTTGACCCAGACTACCTTTTCCACATGACCGGCAACAGGGCACATGCACATTAATGCAATGAAGCCAACACTCTGTTTGGCCAACACATAGTGGCAGGCTTTTAGTGTGTGTGTGTGTGTGTGTGTGTATTAAGAAACACAGCGAGGGAGGTCACAGGGGTTGCTGCAGATTATCGTCCAGAGTCAATCCGCGTCACACTGTAGGTTTAGCCCTGCAATTGTCAGCGTAGCCCCTTCCCATATCCTCTCTCCCCTCCATTATTCCCTCTCCACATGACACCTACACCCTGCTTTTTATTAGACACTAGTCTGATTCCTATTCCGCAGCCGTTTTCCCTTCCAGTTTCATACTCAGCCACACCAGAGCCAATTTTAAAAGGCTCTTCTGCCTAGCCTGGGAAAAAAAAAAAAAATCTTGGCACCCTCTCCCTTTGATGTCTTCCCACTCTCTCTCTCTCTCTTTCTCTCTCTCTCTCTCTCTTTTCTCACTTGATCCCAAACATCCCGCGCTCATTCAGTATTCTGATTTTCGTGAGCGAGGAGAGCGGCTCCCTCTCTTCCCATCCTCTGGTGAAAAGAGTAACACTAACATAAACTCCCTCGCAGACTCCGTACGCCGCGGGCAGTCCATCCTCTCCTCTCCTTTTTAAAAGCACTCAAATGCACTCTGCATACACGGACAATCGATACCTAGTAATAGCCTTAAAACACTGAATTAATTCCCTTGTTTTTTAATACAAAGAGAGAAATAAAAAAGAAAAAGAAACTGCCGCTCTAAGATTTTGGCTGTAAAAACTCGAGGGCAGACGAACTGTGTGGAGAATAGTGTGAGAGTCAGCCAGCTTCACTGTTGGCATCCATTACATTCAAATAAAAGGAGATAACTGGAAGGGTTTTGGCAATTCAATGCCGATTACCTCAAAAGGGGATTTCTCTGTTAATTTGACATGAATAGCACAAAGCGGTCTTTTGTTTTCAATTCTTTAAAAAGTCCTGGAAATAATTAAAACCATTCTCCAGAAGAAGAACCCTTATACTGTCGACTATTAGTATAATTTGTGCTTTGTTTCATACTCAGCAAATGCTCTTGGGTTGTTAAATCTCAATAGGATGCAAGAAACTCTGGCATGCACCTCTCTTCTCCTGCATTGCGACTGCACTACGTGTCGTGTAGCGACGGTAGGATAAATCACAATCAACGGCAACTTTAAAAACACAAATGTCCCCACATCTGATCGGCATAAGCGCTTGCACGAGAGCCAACGGCTGCAATCAATACATCTGCTGGGAAACCTGACTGCCGCCCAGAGGTTTACAGTATAGCAGCGTTGAGAAAGTTTGGAACTTTAGGAGGAGCAACACATGACGGATAAACAGATGTGAAAGATACTGTATATTCAAGAGCGGAGAACAGAGGGTTCACATTCCAAATGATTCTGGTCAAACTTCACTTTTCAGGCACTCGTCCACCAGATCTTTGTCCATATACATTTAATGCAAAGCAAATGCATTAAATTCACCCTTAAATGGTAAGCTCTTTAACATCCCCCTGCAGTACCTATTCGATTTTCCTAGGTCAGGACAAACTCAAGCATAATACACACAAACACACCACTAAAGATAACATATAGGGCTGCAATTAACAATTATTTTAATTATTGATCACTCAATTACAGCTGTCTTAGTCCATTAAGGAAATCCATAATAACCTTCCATGTTGTAATCGAAGTGGTCTGACAGAAGACTAGACTTCTGCACCTCCTCTAGGCTCTGTTTGCAGGCTTTAGAAAATCTAGCCCATGAGACACTGGCCAATTGTTTTGACTATATAGAAAAAAATCAGAACATTTTAATTGTGAATTGAAATCTCAAGAAAAAGCTTTAAAGAAGCCCTTTGGTTAACCTTTTTTTGGTAAAGCTACACCCAATCAAAAAAAGATATTTCATTTCTGATATAAAACAGCAGCCAAACCTCACACTTGAGAAGCAGCAACCACAGAATAGTGTTAGAGTATAGAGTTTATGATGGATAAATGACTTAATCGATTATCAAATTTGTTGCAGATTAATCTCCTGTTGACTAACTAATCGAGGAACTGACTCCAGTAATTGATCATTGCAGCTCAAATAACATAATTTCATGAACAGTTGCTGCCCCCCCTCACAAGCCTAACCTTCTTAATGAGTGCAAATCAAAAGCCAGCAACACAGAGAAAGAGTGGAAAAATGAATGAAAATGGAGACCTATAGACAAAAGACCACCTGGCCAGTGAAAGGCAAATGTAGAAGCAAGTCGGACAAAACAATCAATATAAGCATGTTACAGTATGTGCATGGTAATCGCTGAAAATAATACAAGGGAAAAATCCATTCTGATATCCCCACCCTGCTACATATTTGAAGATTTAATTGAAGATTAAGTTGTCTTTTTTTAATTAAACAAATAAATAGGTTGGTCTGATTAAGCATGGATTTTTCCACTTATACACATGCAGAGCAGAAGAGAGAAGGAGTGGTGCACACAAGAGAGCAAAACAAAACAAGACGAAGAAGCGAGTGTATGAGGAAATCACCTTGGTCAGGAGGTGAGAAGGCTTTCCAGCTATGCTTTTCAGAATGAGCGAGGTTTCTCGGTCCAGATAGGAGTGCTTGGGTGAAGAGAGGAAAAAAATATAAAAATAAAGAGAGAGCAGAAGAAGAGACAAAATATAGAAAAAGTCAGTGCCAGATGATTCTTTGAGGCTTATTAATCGCAGGTGTTTTGATCTTTTCGTATAAGAGAAGCGTGGAAGCGGGAGAAGGTTCCATAAATGGAGCGCTCAGCAGTTGTGGTTGTCATTAGCTGCAGCTGTGGGTAAAGAAGCAATGATTGTCAGAAGTACTGTAGATATACGTACAGATGGGAGTGTGTGAACACATAGTATAATGTCAGTTCTATCTATCTATCTATCTATCTATCTATCTATCTATCTATCTATCTATCTAGTCAGTTCTGGCTAACCACAAAGCCTATAGTCTACAAGCTACTTTCACACACATACACACAACCCCTCTCACGCTTATGGTTACATGTGCATGCAATACACATAAACCAAAGGCTGCACACTGGAGCTAAAAGGCCAATTAAAGTTGAATGAAAATTCTGTTGCTATTATTGATCTTTTGTATCAGCATTAAAAGGGAAAATTTGCCACGTTTTATGTGGATGTCCAGTCAGGTGGTTGTTGTTTCAGATGGTAAGAAGCTTGTGCACAATGCATCCTGGTAAATGTAGGCACTGCCGGCCCAGCTCTGCACACAGGAGAAGTTTCTCGGTCATAAAGTGGCAAATCTTCCCTTTAATAGGCAAACCAATGAACAGAAATGGTTCAAACATGACTGATTGACCTGCAGCCTTACACGGGCAAATACCAAACGCATGCATGCACACATGCATTCTCACACACTTGCACTTACAGTGGCCCGATCCACTTCACCCTCTCGTGAGGTGAACTCAAGCTGCCGTCTGGCCCGTCGCAGTGTGACATGCTGGGGGGAAATCAGGAGGTGCAGGCAAGGTGTGTGTAGATAGAGAGCCACAGATATAGGAAAGGATGCAAAACACAGACAATGTGATCACATGCAGGGGGGCCGGGAACGTGCAAGATATTAGGTTAAAGTGTAAACTGGAACTGAATCTTTAGTTTTTTCCGTCTCCTACAAGTCACCTATACACACATATCTGTTTACATACAGTATTTTAGCGTAGGTCTTTGTTTCTGAAACAGGTTAAACTCCTCTCAAATGTACCTTAGAGCGTGTTTTGCTTTTGTTAAAGAGGCAAGATGTTTGGTGAGTTAACAAAGGAGTTCAGAAATGGTAGCTGTTAACATTGTAATCCTCAGTGAGGAGCCTTAGAGGAGATTACAATGTATGCATTAACACACCATCCAATCCACAATACGTGGGCTGTATTGTGGATTGACTCGCAGTACACTTCAGCCATGCGATTTCTTACAAACGTCATGCTGTGTGGTTAAACATGCAGGACCAGAGCCGGATTGAGGTCAATTCAGGGTCTTAAAGATTTCTTAGAAATACAAAAAAAAAAAAAGGTAAATAGTGCTTGTGTTTAAAATAAAAAGTAGAAGAGACTCAGAAGCTGAATTGACCCCAAACTTGATTCACACACATTTTACTTACCATTACACATGTACTGTAAATTGCCACTTTCACGCTGTGGCTCACACACACATTCTCATAAGCTGATAATACTATGTCTGTCTCTTCAATATCCTCGGTGTGTGTGTGTGTGTGTGTGTGTGTGTGCGTGTGTGCGTGTGTGTGTCGGTGTGTATTCAGTCAGTCATACCTCTGTGCTGGTCTGGTTTTGTCCCTGCGTGCTTGGGCTGCTCTGCCCCTCCACCTCTCCCCCCGCCATCACTTTATCGATGTCCAGGGAGTCCATGCTGGACGCCGAGGCACACGCTGAGTTCACACTGGACCGCTGGGACGGAGCTTCCTGCTCGCTGACCGTGCCTACCGAGCCCGTCCTCCGGTGCTGCCCGCCACCAGACGACCCCGACGAGGGCCGCCGGAGAGTGGTGGAGGAGAAAGAAGAGGACGAGGACGAGGAGGAAGAGGTCTGACGTGCCGCTTCGTCCATGCTGAGAGACGCTTTCTCCAGCTGAGAGGTGATGTCATCGAGGGAGATGTTAGAGGCGGCGGGGCGGGCGCTGTTGCTGCCGCCTCGTACTGTGTTGGCCGGTGATGCCCGGGTGCTGCTACTGGCACTTCCTGTTGGAGAGTTAAAAGTTAAAACAGAGCTCAGATTAAAGAGGAAATTAATTGTTGATGGGATGCATTCTAAATCTTATTTATGCTTTTTTTTTTTTAGAGTACATTTTTTGTTATTTATACAAAATGGATAATCATAGAAATTACGTTAGATTGTTAGGAAACACTTTTATGATTACTAACAAATGAGATGTAGCAAAAACGACTGGCTGCATTTATATCATACCCCTGGTATAGCCACTGCTCCTATATGCTGAAGACTACATTTCCCCGCTGCAAGCAGGATGCTGCTAATTGAACCCCCTTCCTCCTCTATATTATTACTCTGCATGTGTTTGTTTTGTCTTTGGCTTTAGAATGGCTTTAAAAATGCTTTTTTTCCCATCAGCCTTTTACCTCTTCCATCATCAGAAACACCAGAAGAAGAGTGACATCTTCCTGTTTTCTTCCATTAAGCATTCCAAACATTATCCAACACGCTACAAAAAATACTGACTTTGTTTACAACAATTATATTAATGTTCAGGAGTTGGTGGGGTAACTCTTTTGGTGTTGTGCTCATTATTCAGCAGGACTACCTCCACTACTGCCCCCTCCACTGGTGCCTGCGTGCTTGGTGCTTGCACTGCGCCCCCCAGGGCCCCGCTGCTGGCCTTTGCTCTGGCCGCGAGACGTTGAGTTCGGTTTGGAAATGGTGTTGAGCTCCTGTTCGATGGAACAGAGGTCGGCCATCAGGGCGTCCAGGTCCACTGTGTCGCCCTGGTTCAACGCCTCTGCCGGGGGCAAAGATAAAAACAGAGAGGAAGAAGAGAGAGAAGCAGATTGGAAGGGAGGGGATTTAATGATTTCATTTATCTGATCTTTTTCAAAGCTTTGCTGCTATCATACTGATCTGGACACTGAATTATATGAGTGCGGTCTCACCGTTTATGTTGTACATTGAGAAGCGGTAGGAGAAGTTGGCCATGTTTGTCTCCTGCCTGAGAGGAGGCTTCTGCAGTGGTTTCTGGGGCCTGCCATCATCCAGACTCTACAGAGCGCACACACACGATACATGAGGCGCACGTATGCAAAAACCACACACACATTCTGACATTACAGTCAAGAGCAGGATCTAAGCAACCATGTCTGCCTGCTAGACTCCTTAGACACACACACACACACACACACACACACACACACACACACACACACACACACACACACACACACACACACACACACACACACACACACACACACACACACACACACACAATATAGAGTGGTAGTGGGAGGGGAGTTGCTAGGATACAGTATAGGGAGACAGGATTAGCAGTGTTAAGGTTGCTATGGATACAGCCCCTTCCTTTCTGTCCGCTCTTCTACCTGTGCGAGTCTGGATCTGTCTATGTAACCAACCACCCCCTATTTGTGTGTGTGTGTGTGTGTGTGTGTGTGTGTGTGTGTGTGTGTGTTAACCTGTGTGAGTTTGTCCAGCTCTCCCAGCCAGTCACCAAACATCTTGTCCAAGTCCTGGTCCTCCTTATCGCTGTCCTCTTCTGCTCCATGGTCCAACTCATCATCTGATACCTGTTCCATCTACACACACACACAGAAAAGCAAAGGAGAAACTGTCAGATGATTCCATGTACACAATTTCACACGCCATCACGCCCACATAGCAGGAATGATCTAAAGGAGAAAAAAAAAGAAACAACCTTCAGCTCAGCTCATGCCAACCTCACTGCCTGTTACCATGACAACTGCTCACGGACCCCTAGCGGGCACTCTGTGCTGTCTAATCGGCAGAGTGCCCTGTAGTGTATTGCTCACCGCTGACACACCCAACACCTCTACCTCAGCTTCCAAGAGAGAGAGGGACGCTGATGGAAGACAGGAGGAGCAGGACAACAATCAATATCGCCTAAATTGACGTACAGAGCGCTTTTGGGATCTATAAACCTACAGTGAAACACTGACACAAGATATCAATCAAACCACACTCAACAGTAGCAGGTGGTATTAATGGTTATGTGGGCCAGTGCGAGTGAAGGAAGGAAGGCATAGCAAAGCCCAGCTGTGTTCTGTCAAAAGGTGATGACCGAGCTCCCTCTACTGGACACAAGTGGTGTAACATGCAGCTGTGTGGCTGGTTGACTCAGTTCCAGCAGCTCACATCTAGCAGTGCAACAGAAAACATTCTTAATATTGACGTCTTACAGAGATGGAAGAATTTGATTCTTATAGACGTATGTCAGATGGTTAGGAATGAGCAAATATCATCATCAAAACCTCCTCTTATAACTAACCCATAAGCACAGTCACAAACATGACAGACCCTACAGATATAATTGTATAAACAGCAAACTACCCAACTCTTTTTAGTGTATACAAGGACACTTTTCAGTAGACAAAGCACTCAATCAAAACATGAAAATCAAGGAGACAAAGCATAACAGATGAGACTACGAGAAGGGTGCAAAAATGTGTTGATTCTACAACAAGTAGCATCAACATGTGCTAACATCCCTCCCTATTTCTTCTAGGTCAGCTGGGCAGTCAGACTGTTTAGATATTACCCAATCTGGGGGAATGAATAAACACCCATGAGTGCCTACGTACATTGAGGAAGAATGTTATTTTTCTTCAAGTAGAAGGAAAGGGTGGACGAGCACAGGGGTCACCTGGGATGCCTGGTCAGATCAACACACAGACACAGGCACACACACAGACACAGACACAGACACACACACTTGCTTACTGCACCATTCCAGGATAAACTAAACCTGACAGGACAACTTGACATGGTGATCTTCTTAAGAGTGGCCCTGTTTTGGTACAGTCCAGTGTGCCCCCCAAAACATTCCAATCAGATGGAATATTCCCGGGTAATCCCACTGATGTTTTCAGGGGGTGTCATTCCTCCCAGTTAACCACGCTGTACGGTGTCAGTCACTCGTAGGGACTGTACCAAGCCAGGATTAACCCCTCTGACCGCCGTTCTTTTGATCCAGCAAAAAGTACACGCAAAGCTTAATTTGTATGTGTGTGATTTTGTGTGTCTGAAGCCCTCTACGTCTACATGGAATACTTGAGAGCAATCGGAAAGTCATGCTTTGTTGTTAGAAGGTGATAAAAGCAGGTAATAAAACAGTCAGTAGGTGAGAGGCAGTAAAACGCGCTGCGCTTGGCAAAGCAAACAGGAATATGATAGCAACACCACTGAAAATCGCACACAGCACACAGCAGTTTGAGGGGCGCTTGTTTCAGATCAAAATGGGTCACATTCCAGAGAGTGTTCTGCTCCTTAAAGACACTGTACATAGTGCAAGTACAAAATACACTCCCCCGATGTCACATACCATGCCAGCCCTTGTGTCTCTACAGCTGGTGTTAAAAGCTAAAGTTGCCACTGCTGTGTGTGTGTGTGTGTGTGTGTGTGTGTGTGTGTGTGTGTGTGTGTGTGTGTGTGTGTGTGTGTGTGTGTGTGTGTGTACATTACAGAGTTGATGATGGACAGTTTCCTGTTTAGGCACGCATATCAAATGCATGAGGAGCATGGACTTGTCATCCTTTCGTAAAAGATTGCGTCTAAGTATGTAAACAAAAACAAGTCAACCAAATATGTGTGTGTATGTGTGTGCGTGCACATATTTGGTTGACTTGTGTGTGAAATTATATCCACACACTCATGAACATGTGTGGGAGGCAGAACAGGAAATGGCCAGGATGTGCAGAATTCCTAATTTCCCCCATGACCTGTTCCTTGGCAGGAAACTCCAGCTGTCCTTCGGTTTATCCATGCCACTTATTGGTGGACAGCAGGGACTTGTTGGTGGGAGGAGGGAGAACCCCTTCACCCCTCCACCATTCTTCAGGATGACCCAGTGGTTTACCAGAAAAAAAAGGGAAAAGAAACGGCATACAATGAAGTTTTCCATCATTTAAATTACATGGTCCCATACTACCACAGAAGGATCATTTGTCTATTTGGCTGCCCTCAAATGTGGCTCCATATGGGGCCCTTTGGTAACAGACATGTCTATTTGGGGGTTCCCCCAGTATGAAAAGGGATGAGTGTCCTTGCTGTAAGGCCTGACATCATCGCTGGCTGGCTGGAGGCAGACGGGAAGAGGAAATAGCTAAAATCAAATGAGCTTGCATTGTGTTTGCCAAATGAGGTGCTTCCACATGTAAATACAGCAGCGAGAAATGAGTCTGACTGCGGGACACTTTTAACAGCGGTGTTTAAACAGCAACCAGCCTTCAGCCCTTTGTGATAATGAAAACACACATGCACGTAGGTACACACAGAAATATACATATTCAATATAACTGCAGGAGAAAAAGGACAAAAAAGACAAGAATAAAAGAGATGAGCACATAAAACCCAAAAGCACTTTGAAAATAGCTCTGCTGCTGTCATTCTAATGGAATCATAGCCTCAAAGGCAGATGATGCTGCAGGTTTAAGTGAATTACCACCTGAGGCCCTGCTTTTAAGCTCATGGAGCATGACCTGGGAGAGACACGGGATGGGAGATAGAGATAGAGAGAGAGAGAGAGAGAGAGAGAGAGAGAGAGAGAGAGAGAGAGAGAGAGACAGAGACAGAGATAGAGATAGAGATAGAGATAGAGATAGAGAGAGAGTGAGTGTGTGTGAGTATACGTGTGCGTGTACAGATGCACTCCTACATGCATCATCGCAAACCAAACAACAACAACCTTGCTGCCCCCCCGATACTGCACGGTCCCTCTCTCTTGTCTGAGCATGACCAGCACTCATCTGTCTCCTGTGACTGCCGGGTAGCTCAGAGGTCTAGGGTGAAAGGTTAAGGGGCCAAAGGTCTTCCCAGTGGAGAGAGAGTCTCTCTCCCTCTCTCTCTCTCTCTCTCTCTCCTCTCTCTCTCTCTCTCTCTCTCCCCTCTCCCTCTCTCCCTCCCTCCCTCCATGTAAACACTCCCGGTTCCCGCTGATTCTGCAGTGCCCCGAGGAGTGAAGGGAAAGGGAAGATGAAAAGTGTGCTCTGTGAAAACTCTAAGTCTTACAGAAAAAAGCACAGTGAACATCCGGTGCAGAAGAAGATGAAGAACTGGAGGAGTAGGAGGAGAACATGTCTATCTTTAGACTAAGTCATATCAGAGAGTATCAAGAGGATTGGAAAGGGAGCAGTGTGAAGACTAGATGTTAAGTTGCTGAAGGGAGAACAGTGTCTAGAATGGTTCTCAATAGTTCCTACCACTAACAAGAACTCAGAGACAACTGCTATCCTGCTAAATATTAATGAAAATGTGGCTATAGGTTTCAAACTGGAAATCTTTTGGCTTTGCAAATGTATCAGGCCTAAATCATGCAAACTGATTACAGTCAACACTGTTGTTTAGTCACAGAAAGTAGGTTCATAAATAAGAAAGACTTCACTTGAGGCAAGAAAACACCACCGTATTGGTTTAAAGGTGAACTCGTTGACTTCTTGTCACATGCTAGGTCACACTCTTTGCATGAGTGAATGCTGTGAGTGCTATTTTCACAGCTAATGTGACAAACAAAATGCAGTCGCTCCAAGAGACATTTTGGGTTAATTGATAGCACATTAATTCTCGTGGGGAAATACATCCTCAGCAATTAACCCGCCCTTTTTTTTTGCTCTGACCGCCAATAACAGTTGAGCAAGCCTCGGCCAATTTACATGAATTGTGAGTTAGGTAGTTAGCTAAAGTTTTGCTACCTTTAGCCAACTTAAGATGTGACTATATGTCGCGTTTATCTTTTAAACGGACTTTGAGGACTAGGCTGGCACTTAGCATAACCCCTAACTTATAACTTATAGATAAGTGGCCAGATGGCGACAGTGCTCACCACTCCCCCAAAAAAGATACAGGAAGAAGGAGAGAGAAAGAGAGGGACAGAGCACAGAGAAAGACAATTATTTGGGTGTGACAGAAAGAAAAAAGGGAGAGTGCAACATGACATCATAGGTCACATTAGGTCTCCGTGGCTCGCTCCTTCTTAATTCAGTTTGCATGATGGGAACAGGGCACTGTTGTTCATTTGGTTCACATTAAGCGGAATCTGGCATGGACAATCACAACTTTAACGTTGCACCACTAAAAGGAGTAGTACTTGTGTTTTGGGTAGTTTGGGTATTGGTAAGTACTGTAACTCCCAGAGTGCATATCTTCCTGTGAGACTGGGCATGTACAGCCAGAAAAGGGCTGTAAGACATTAGTAATGCTTGTATAGCTCATATGAATGTTCCAATCCTGTTTATTTCCTGTTTATTGGACAGAATTTAATGAGATTTTGTGAAAATAAACAAAAACAGCTAATTGAATCCATATAATCTCAAAACACAAGAGAAAGGATAACAGGCTAAAGCACCAAAGCCATGCACTGACTGTTTCAGCACCACCTGCTCTGTTTCCTGTTGACATTCAAATGGTGAACTGCTTCGAACATTTGAGTTACAAATAAAAGTCCTTTCATATTTCAGTCTTACAGGAAATAGGAGGGCTGGGAAGTGGAATATGACCGTAGCTGTGTAAACACTATTGTGGCCAGATACTCCTGCTGCGATGATGACTGAGTGGATGTTTCCAT